GGGATTCAGGTGGGGCGAGCCGGCGTGGTTCCATGCTCTGGAGAGTCCCTACTACAATGACTCTCACCGGCGGTTCCAGACGTACGTACGAGACTTTGTCGACACTCACTTGCTTCCCTACGCGCAGGAATGGGAGGCAGCTGGGGAAGCCCCTCTATCAGCGAGGTTGAAGTTTGCCAAGTCCGGTCTTGCTTTCCTCGATGTCCCAAAAGAGTACCGACCCAAGGAACTCATAACTGTTGCGGGTATTGCGTTCGACAAGCTGGATGTCTTTCACGAGCTGGTTCTCATGGACGAGATGGCCCGCATGCCCAGTGGGGTCCCCCTCGCTCTGGCGGGGGCATCCAATGTGGGTGCGCCGCCCATCTTTGCTGCCGGGATTGAGGAGCAGAAGAGACGATGGCTTCCTGGTCTCTTTACCTGGGAGACTAGCTTCTGTCTCGCCATCACGGAGCCCACGGCCGGCAGTGATGTGAGCGCCATCCGGGCTGCTGCAGAGAAAGCTCCCGACGGCAAACACTATGTCGTCAACGGCCGCAAGAAGTGGGTTACGGGAGCACCTTGGGCAACCCACATGACCACCGCCGTCCGAATGGGCGAGCCAGGGCGGAGTGGTATCTCGCTGCTGGTCGTGCCTTTGAACTCCCCCGGTGTCACGATCAGGAAGATCCACAATTCCGGGCACAACGCCGGTGGTTCCTCATGGGTCGTATTGGAAGACGTGAAGGTGCCAGCTGATCACTTGCTGGGCAAAGAGAACGGGGCGTTCCCTATCATCATGCGAAACTTCAATAAGGAGCGCTTCATCCTCACAGTGGACTGCAACAGACAAGCCCGAATGTGTCTTTCGGAGGCACTGCAGCACGCACATGATCGAGAGACATTTGGAAAACCTCTCGCCTCGAATCAGATTATACGGCATAAGCTGGCGGCGCTTGCTCGCGAGGTCGAGGGCCATTGGGCGTGGCTGGAGCAAATTGCCTACCACGTCCATATTCACGGCTGGCAGACCAAGGACGTTGCAAGCAGAATTGCGTTGGCAAAGATCCAAGGCGGCAGGATCGTAGAGCAAGCCGTTAGAGAGAGCCAGCAAATCCACGGCGGAATAGGCTACGAAAAGGGGGTGACCATGACGGAGCAGATTTCTCGGGACCTCCGTTTGAAAGTCATTGGTGGTGGGAGTGAGGAGATTCTGAGTGACCTTGCGTGGCGCGAGGAGCACAAACGAGCTTCTGATCGAGGCGCGAAACTCTAAGAAGCTTTCGATGGCTTGGAAATCAGATTATAACAAGCTTAAAACACACTTTCTGTAGCCCTGAACCGACTTCATTGCATGTTATGTATGACTGGTGTCGGTTGTCTAGAATAGCGCTATTGCTTCCGTGATCCGCAAAGGTTCAATACGTGGTGACATGGCATGGCTGGGCTGCGAGTCATGGGTGCTGAAGCCGCTACTTGGGCCATGATACGAGGTGTTCGAGAATGAGACCAAAACCGAGACGTCCACGTGTCGTCCGATATATCGACAAGTGGCCGTTGATGGAGTGCAGAAAAGATGCTCAGGGTTGTACGCCTCTTGTGCTAGCTAGTCCTAGACAAGCCTCCATGTGCATTTAGCTTAACTGCAAGGACGCGATAGGGTCCTCCAACCCCTGCACTAGTTTCCTCTCCAAGTTACACTACCTCGGGTGTCTCGTGAGACCCACCGCAACAGTCCGAACCCGAGGTGTCGGGGCCGGACCCCTCACCCTCACTTGTCACTTGCAATTCCGTCATCAACGTCTTGAGTTCAGCTTATCGACCCAGTTATCAACTCGCCGACCATGACTGACACCGACGTCAAGTCACACCCTGATTACAAGCACTTCGCGTCCATCCCATGGTGTGCCAGACTCCTCAGTCAATCCGACACTTCGTCCCACGTGGTGCAAGTCTCCCAAAACAGAACTGTCCTTCCTACAAGAGAGAACACGTACGTCGGCGGAACTCTCAACACACCAGACACCATCAAAGCCTGGTTGATCATACACCCCAAGCCGCAAGGTCCCGATTGGAAGGTCGATGAGTTGTGTTCTCTCATCACGTTTGACCATGGCATGATTGGGTTTCCCGAGACGGCTCACGGAGGCGTTGTTGCCTTGGTGATGGATGAAGTTACGGGCATTCACATTGTAGCCCAGAGGCCGACGGGTACAGAGCCCAACAAAGATTTCAGAACGGGTTACTTGAACACGTCATTTCGAAAGCCTGTTCCTGCGCCGGGAACGGTGCTAGTGAGATCGAGGATAGCCAGAGTTGAGGGCCGCAAGTATTTTGTTGCGGCTCAATTAGAGGATGAGAACGGTGAAGTGCTTGCAACAGCGGAGGTCTTGTATATCTCAATCAAGAACAAATTATGAGTCGTAAGGATTTGTACAGTATACTTTGACAAACATGCGGTTTGAGAAGACAGAAGGAAGCCATAGAAATCAGATCATCATCTGAATAACACAGAAGAGCCTCGAGATATCACTTGAGCTTGCATGGAACTATGCGCTGGCTAGACTCGGAAGTCACTTTTAGACAGTATTTTTATGTTTGATTAAAGCAGTCCTGCATTTGGTCAACGTGAAGATGAGAGTTGGTTTACTTTTACGTGAGTGAACCAGGCATTGACCAAGTTGACAGCCGGAAGTTGTCCCCGCCAATTTGTGTACAAGAGTGCGGGCGTAGATTTGACAGGGCGTTGCCAAATCTTTGAAATTTAGCAGTTTACTTGACAATTAGCACTTTAAAGACGTAAAGATATTCAAGTATGCTAGAACCTGAAGAAGTCACGCATGGCATTGCTCAAGTTGGTCGTTAATGTAGCAGTATGCGAGGACTGAGGGTCTACAGCGAAGCCTGGATCAGTAGGTCGGACCTAGACTCGAACAGCATAGGGAGATACACATGTCTAAGTCAACTAGAAGTGCACCATGGAATGACTTGCTACATTCGTTATTGTAGGGAAAAGAAGAACGAGATGACGTATTACTTTGGTCGTAGTGAGACCGGTGGTTGTTGGCTCACTACTCAAATTTATAGCGTGGTGTGGGGGTAATCCGAGCTGAATCGGCGTAGGCCCCCCATTGGCCGACATGTCGGACCAGGAGGCGAACCGGAGCAGTCCGTACCACGACAAGCGGACCGATCCATCCCCACGATCAGCCCAGAATCTTCTAAGCTAGGGTTTAGTCGAGTCTTCAGATTCTATACAGGTTTTACGCTGATAAATCCTGTACAGGCTTACAAATGTCGTGGGTTCACTAGAAATTCCTGGCTGCTAGCCAACACTAGCCAATTCGAATGTATGAATATGAATATAAAGCACGATTGTTTTGAGATTCCAAGCCAAATCTGAGCAATACTAAACATCTACGTTAGCTATCGCTTTCTTCTGTTACATCGCGACTCACATATCCAATTGGTCTTAGCCACTCCATCTGCAGTTATCATGTCTCTGCCTTACCAGAAAGTCCTATTAGTCGGAGCGACCTCGGGAATCGGTGCAGCTCTAGCGGACAAACTTGTCGAGAATGGCACTTTCGTCATCGCTGCCGGTAGAAGAAAGGAGAACCTCGACAAGTTCGTTGCGAAGCACGGCGCGAACAAGGCTGCGGCAGCTGTCGTGGATATCCTCGAATTGGAGTCGGTATGTTGAGGCTCTTCCCCTTCATGAAGGTATGGTAAAGGATAAGACTAACGAAATATCTAAAGATTCCGGAGTTTGCTTCGTCCATAATCAACGAGCACCCTGATCTTGATTGTGTATTTCTGAACGCCGGAGTTCAGCGAGGTATCGATTTCACCAAGCCTGAAACCGTCAGTTTGGACATCGTTTATGATGAACTTCTCGCAAATTACCTCTCCCATGTCCACTTGACCAAGGCCTTCCTCCCCCATCTTTCAAAGCAAGACAAGCAGACCGCCTTACTTTACACCACATCTCAGCTCGGCCTCATTCCGATGAAGCGGTGCCCCAACTACAGTGGCTCCAAGGCTGCTATGCACGGCTTTATTCTCGCACTCAGATCCCAGCTCAAGGATGCGTCTTCAAGGGTCAAGATTGTTGAAGTTTACCCGCCTGCAGTACAGACGGAACTGCACGATGCCAAGAATCAGCCGGACTTGAAGAACGGCCATGCTATTGGCATGCCGGTAGACGAATTCGCCGATGAAGTCTACCAGAGATGGGTCAACGGAGAGGAACAGATCCCAGTGGGAACCGCGAAACCCATGTTTGACGCGTTTGAGGATAAGAGACAGGATTACTATGAGAGCTTTAACGCCGAGATGGACAAGGTGTTGGTAGATTTTACCGTTTGAGTATTGGGTCACCAGATCTTTGGAAAGTAAAGAGGTATGGAGGATTGCGATGGGAAATAAGTCAACTAAGCATTTATCGACTCTTCTCGGGCAATGGATGAAACTATCTCACTCTGGGTCTGTGTGTTTGTGATATAATGTGTGGCTTAGGGATTGTTATGGTGCGAATCAATTCCATCAAGTCTTGCTTCAGGGTCTTGGGTGACATGCTGTTCTAGCAAGCGGAGAATAGAATAGATTGCTAGTCAACTTACGAGTGCAGGACAAGTCATGATGATAATAGCAGTGTCACCGGAAGTAGCGGCAAGACTGTTCATGTATCAGCAAATTGTTTTTGCACCCAATTTTCAAGGCAAGGTAGTTACAATTGGATGCCGGTAAGGCGAGGAGGCATTCGATCGCCGAGATACGCCGGCTTTGGCAGCACTGTCTTACCGAACAAAATATGGGTCTATCCCGATCGCGCTCCGTGAAAAGGTGGACCCCATCGGCTGGTTAACCGCTGGCCCGTGCTTAACTCCGTCAATCGCCACTTTCTTCCTTTCGTTGACATCACGAAAGCAAGGCTAATTCTTAACAAACCCGCGGCCATAGCTCGACCCTCTCAACCATGTTCTGTCCCCCGACGTCCACCGAGGACTGGGATCTTGAGTATGGCGACTAGGCTTTCACGAACACCGCTGCCCTGGGGACGCCGTCTATCCTTACGTTGGCGCACCGAACCACTCGCAGCGAGATGTCGATTTTACACATCCGACCGATCTCCCGAAGCTTCCGAAGCTCCAACACCCAATCGCAGTGATAATGGCCCAGAGAAAGAAAAGGGAGCCATGTCGCGAAAGCTCGAGGAAGCTACAGAAGAAGCTCTTTTGACTGGTGGCCGGCGCGGGCGTCAAGCTATCGAGGATGCTGGGTTTTCCGAAGAGCTGAAGCAGCGGCTTCTCGACAAGGTCGAGACCGCCAAATTCCGATCCCAATACGCATCCGCTTTCGCAGAGGCTCAAATGCCCACTTCAGCAGGCGAGGGGACACGTTCAATAGCTGCGGCGCAGGCTTGGACGGGAGACGAGGCGCAGTCTGATACGGTTCTGCGAATGCTCAACGATGCGAAGAAGCCCCTCAAGCCCGAGCTAAGGGGTCAATTCCAGATTCCGCCCGTTGACATGCGGATGCGAAAAGAGTCAAAGACGAATCCTAGCCAGCGGGCTGCGAATGCTCGCGAGAAGGCCTCGACATATACTGCACTGGGATTTAAAGAGGAGAGCGGGCAAAGCGCCAAGGAACGCGAAGAGTTTAGAAAAGAGCTCCGCGACCGATTTGGAGCAGCAGCTCGAGCTGTGCCGAACACTATATCAGGCCTCGAGTCACTGGCCAACGAAAGAATAGAGGACGCCATTGCTCGTGGGCAGTTCAAGAACATCCCTCGCGGCAAGGGGGTAGAAAGAGACGCAAGAGCCGATAACCCTTTCATCGATACCACCGAGTACATAATGAACAAGATGATCAAGAGGCAGGAGATTGTCCCGCCATGGATAGAGAAGCAGCAAGAGTTGGCCAAAACCGCTGGCATCTTCAGGGCAAGATTACGCAACGACTGGAGGAGGCACGTCGCCAGGATGATTTCGTCAAAAGGTGGGAGCTTGGAGGAGAAGATGCAACTGGCCGAGGACTATGCTCTTGCAGAGGAACGCCATAATCCGCGCAAGAGGAACAGCGACAGTATTTCGGTTCCCACCAATGTGACCGATGATCCTGTCATGGCGAAGGTGCGTCAACAGGCGGTCGAGGGCAACAGCACTAGCGAAGCCGGACCAGAGGCAGCGCCGACGAAGCCTGCTCGGCCACTGATACAACCCTTCCGCGACTCTGATTGGCTTGCAACTGAGAGCTCGTATATGAACCTCGCCGTCAACAACCTCAATGCGATCACGCGTTCCTACAACCTTATGGCGCCAGAACTGGCGAAGAAGCCGTACTTCTCGCTTGAGCGAGAGCTCAAGGCTTGTTACGCCGATGTCGCGCCCCTTGTGGCAGAAACTATCCGCGAGAGAGCCACCAGGCCGACAAAGACATTATTCGATGCAGCAGGGGGCGGTCAAGTCACGGTTTTTGACCGCTTTAGTAAGGAGGGAACATCGGCCAAGATATACGATTCCAGGGCTCCTCACTATGGCTTCAAGGAAATGTGGAGGGATCTCTTCAACTGAAAGTAGTTGTATTTTTCCGTCCGGCTCATTTCATTGAGCTCTGAGTCTCTTAATTTAGCAGCAACCGATGTCGGGGTTGATAGGTACGATCTTCATCGTCGATGCCTTATTCTAAACGCAGCGGGAATATCTTTCCATGAATATCTTCCCTGCTGGAAATCAGCGTGCTTCCTGAAGCCTCTTTTGACCCAGATCGGGTTATATTTGAGAATCAATCCCCAATGCTGTACAGCCAGCTCAACCGGCCCTGTGCATGTCGCACTCGCTTTGTATCGGAACCTGGATGGATCACTTAAACATCTGCGGCGGACATGATGGCCCGCGATCACCTGGCACCCACTCCTGTCTCACACTCTATCCCAGCCTCGTCCCATCCGGGTTGCCCTCTCTCATTGCTCACCAACAGCCAAAGCCTATACAATCAACTCAACCTTCCCAGTCACACAAGTAGAAGGCGCCTGCTTGGGCGCCTTGGCCCAGCGGAACACTCAGCTGGTGTCGTGGGATTTCCACATGTCTCTGTTGAGACGGACCTCGACCCCTTGAGTTCGACTCCTTGCTGGGCCCTTTTTTGCCCTTTTTGCCCTTTTTGCACCTTTCTCTCTCCTTTTGTGATCTGGAATCACGTCACCCTGACTTCTTCGTAATAACGCTACTGGCTCTTTGCTTGAGACGCTGTATGCAATCCAAAAAGGTGCACATTTCTTGAAGAGTAAGATTGGGAAGGACGAGATGAGATTGTTGATGCTGGGCAAAAGTGTTTGCGGAGTACACCGACAAATTCGCTTGAAGATGGCTAGAGTTCCTCTATTGGTTTGGAACCGTCTCTTACGTGCTTAGATGAACTTTAGACAAAGCATGGGCAAATAAGCCAAGATCTGTAGTGACCGTAGATAACTGCAATCTGAAATGATGAAAAGGGACTTCCTGACGGCATTTGAATTTGAGTTGATCATTTAGTCGTGACATAACTTTCCTGAGCATGGTTCATTGATCCCACCGGCAGATGGAGATGAACCCCAAGAGTGTTGAGTAAGCAGAGATTGATTGGCGCCAGACTTCACGTTCGGTACGAGCCGCGTCTTGGCTGGCAGTTGAGACTGGAGACAAACTGACTTGCGACATCGAGACCGGTGGGATGAGCACCGTCCTCCGATCGATATTTGTCCGAACGCCCGTCAATGAGCCTTTCGATTGGCTTGATCTGAGAGGTTGCCGTCCGGATTGTGTTCAGTCGGTGCGGACACGGGCCGGCTTGAACATGTATTCGTCCGAAAACTACTGATCGCGGACTCACGGAGGTTCAACGTCCGGATGGCTGGTACGTCCCACCGAATTGTCGTCAGTCCGATAGTCCGCCATGGTGATGGGTATATGTCGTGCGGCCACATTGGGATTGAAGCTCTCAGATTTATCTGAACACCATTGCACCAATCAAGCGCCAGACAATAAATCAATTCTTACACGACCATTATGGAGACTACTACCTTTTCCAACGAATCGCTCATCAACGCGGCTACGGACCGCCAAGAAGTCGGCCAAACCCCTTGGTACTATGTGCTCGGGACATGCGTACCACTTGCCATTCTCGTGCTGTTCTGGATGAGAGACCATGGCACCAAGCTCCCGTATCTCAATCCCAAAGGACGGTTCGAGTGGTCCTCGGACAGGGTTGTTCGGGAGTTCGTATTCAATTCCTACCGAATGCTGTATTCATCTGCAAAGGACTTCCTCGGCAAGCCTTTCCGTGTGCTGTGTGATGTTGGAGATGTCATTATCCTGCCACCTGATGTTGGCCAGGAGATTCGGAACGACAAGCGCTTTAGCTTCGTTCAAGGCCTATTCGAGGTGCGTCTTCGAAGGGGGGATAACAGGGGATTCGATTGCTCGACGAGAAAACGTTTACTAACATACATGACTAAGGACTTCCAAGGACAATATGCGGGCTTCGAGGCTTACAAGGAAGCCTGCCATCCTTCCGAACGTATTCAGAATGTGGTCAAACTAAGGCTAACCAAGACCCTTGGTACGTCTAGCGGTGATCTTGTAGCCACCTATTCGCCTTGGTTAATGCTAACCTTGAACGATCCTTGGTAGGTAGGATTTCGGGCATTCTTTCGCAGGAAGTTGAAGAAAGCCTACAGGACACGCTAGGTGATTCGACTGGTACACTTGATCCCACAACATCAACATCTCGGATTTTGACTCAGTGCTGATGAATGGCGCAGAATGGCATGACACGGTGGCCAAACATGAAATCCTCAAGATTGTGTCCCGGATGTCATCCCGGATCTTTGTAGGGAAACGGCTAGGACGCAACGAGAAATGGCTGAGCACCATCGTAGGCTATGTCGAGCTCAGCGTCCACGCGATGCAGAACCTCCGCTTCTGGCCTAAGTTCCTTCGAGGCATCGTGGTGTACTTCCTCCCCGGACCCACAAAGCTGCGCGCGTACATCAGAGACGCCGAGACTCAAGTCTTTGCGGAGATCAAGCACCGTCAACAGGAAGGGGACTCTGTCGAGGAGTACAACGATGCCATCGAGTGGTTCAAGGAGATGGCCAAGGGGCAGAAGTTCAACCCAGCTGTCGCACAGTTGATTCTGGCTGGCGTGGCGATCCACACCACGGCGGACCTAGTTACCCAGACTCTCTACGACATTCTTCAGCACCCTGAGCTTATTCAACCTCTTCGAGAAGAAGCAATTCAAGTCATTGGCGAAGGAGGATGGAAGAAGACGTCGCTGTACAACATGAAGCTCATGGACAGTGTTCTCAAGGAGAGTCAGCGACTGAAGCCGAATCAGATTGGTAAGTTCTTTCAATGCTCTCCTTGCATGACTTGCAGACCCAAGGAAACTTTGCTCACAGACTTTTCAAGTGGGAATGGCCCGTCGCGCCACAGCAGACGTCCAGCTCTCCGATGGAACGGTTATCAGCCGCGGCAGCGCGACTGTTGTCTCAGCCGAACGCATGTGGGATGACAAAATCTACGAGAACCCGCACGTCTTCGACGGCTATCGATTCTACCGTGAGCGCGGCGGCCCCAACGACGCAGTCAGCCAGTTTGTCAGCACCAGCGTGAACCACATGGGTTTCGGTCACGGCATGCACTCCTGCCCGGGCCGCTTCTTCGCGGGAAATGAGGCCAAGGTTCTGCTTGCTCATATGCTTCTGAAGTACGACATCAAATTCGTCGAGGGACAGAAGCCGAAGTTTGCAGAGTTTGGGTTCACGCGCGAATCGGACTCGGATGTCAAGATCTCGGTTCGTCGACGCAAGGAGGAAATTGATCTCTCCGTTCGGGTTGAGGAGGAATAGATTCCTAAGGAGGCTTATTCATCCAGGCTCTGGCTTTAATTTGATCATCGGCAAAGGTCTTCTCAATACTTTGAGGAATAGAATGGGGCAGGGCACTTATGTCGAGGACATTGGTAGTTTGTTTAGCAAGGATTAGAATAGACGGATTAAAATCAACGGCATTTGCACCTCCATCCAAAGTGAAGCGCGCTTTACAATTTCGTTTCTGTCACAAAAGTTTTGTTTAACGCTACCATACAAAGGCCAAAGGCGACCTATGGTTTCCACCCATAATCTACGGTGATGAGTAGACGTAACCGTAAGCCTTCTTCGCCTCATCAACTTGCTTCTTGACCTCGGCTTCACTCTCGACAAGGTCCTTTTCTTCCTTCAGTCTCTGCTCCATGCTGGCAACCGACATGTACGGAGAGCTGGGAATTTGGATGCCTCGCTGAACAGCAGGTCTCTCATAGCATCTGTCCAACCATGCCTTGACGTTCGGGAACTGGTAGATATCCACGCCTGCCATGGGAGCGCCTTGCACCCACCCAATCATTGAGATATCAGCGATGCTGTAGCGCCCGCGACCCGGACCGACAGCAAAGTCCCGCTTATCGAGATGGGTGTTCAGAACGCCAAACAGTCTCTCCGTCTCACCGACGTAGCGCTGGGTGGGGTAGGGGATTCTCTCCTTGGAAAACCTGACAAAGTGGTTCGCTTGACCTTGCCTGATGAAAGCATTAGTCTCTCCCCTCAACATCATGAGACGGCTACACTCACATGGGCCCCAGTCCACCGTGTTGCCAGCCAATCCAAGACTCGGCCCGGGTGTAGTCATTGTCCGAGAGGGCGAATGAGAACTTGTGCTCAGTGTCGTACTTGCGCGTAAGATAGCTGAGAATGGCGCTGCCCTCAAAGACAGCAAGCTGCTCGTTGTCATGGTCTACGATGACAGGGATGCGGCCGTTGGGGTTGAGTGATGTGAACCATGGCTCCTTCTGGATGTTTTGCATGATGTTGATGCTTTGGACTACGAAAGGGAGCCCGTAAGCCTCCTTCAGTTCCTCTAAGATGATGCTAGCCTTATAGCCATTCGGAGTGCCTGAGTACAGTCGTTTAGCAAGAGTTCATAGCTCAGAGTGTATTGTCTTAAATAGTTTACCGAATGTCAAGAGCTCGATGCCCTTCTTGGCGATGAGACCAGTGGGACGTGCAGCAGCCATTGTGATGGGATGTGACGAGATGAGGATAGGGTAAACAATGAATTCAGATGGGAACTATTTGGACTATGATGTCGAGTATATGTGATCAAAGCTGAGCTACCGCAGGATGTTGCAATTGTACATATATATGTTGCAAGATGCTGTAGATATTCGCGTAGCTGGAATGTGAAGCGGATTGCTAATACAGTTCAAGCTGACAAATGCTTCTCCACTGTGTCCATGACGACAAGGACGACTCTCTGGAGTTTAGCGACTTTTCCGGAACCGGAAAAGTCGCGACTCAGGCCGCTTACCACGCGACGAGAACCTAGTCCCGCGCGCCAGCTTACAACAAGCAGCTTGTCCGACATGGAGGAGTTGAGAGCTTTCTTATGTATTGTGACGATTGATAAAGCTTGAATTTGAGGCTTGCGCAACGCACTTATCCCAAAGAAATTCGTGCGACCGTTTGAGAACCTCGTACCACTCAAAGCTAGATGCTTTGAAATGTGATGCCTGGATTACTGGACTCGAAGGTCATTGGGCATTCGATAGGCAGACTCAGTGATGCACGCATACAGGTCAGCGAAGATGTCTTAACAAGACACCTCAGCGTGAAGCTTGTAACCCTCAGTATCGTCGAGTCTCACCGAGTCTCACCGAGACAAATCGATTTGTTCGGATGCTTTGTGTGATTGTGCAGCTATTTGTAAGTCCTTGATCTTCTGACATCCGTACGGAGGAACCTTCTCAAAGCTCGCGCGTTGACCTTGAGTTCAAAGTTGAGGGCATGGCGGTACGGTCGCCGTTGTGACCTGAGCAGTATTGCTACCCCACAATCCAGATGAGTGTATTCATGGCAGGTTGCCCGTGCTGTCACGCAGAGCCTCAGTCAAGCTTCGAATGATTACCTTACTCAAAACTACGATTCCTTCCTGAAAGACGACCTCTGACTGCCCCCACGTGCCCCTTGATCCTGAGCTTAAGATGTTGGGGATATAACCCGGAGCTCAGGAGTATCTGTGGATTGTTGGGGGTCACCTTAGTCATTCCCCAGAACTTTCAGCTCCAGATTCTCAGAGAGGCAAAAAATCCCGGCCAGAGCCTTGACCCCACAAGCAGCTAATGCTCTAGCAGGGAAAGCTCCATGTCAGGCAAGGGTTAATTCGCCAATGCTTTGGAAGTATGACGTTAAATAAAGCTCCAACACGAACGCTGAAGCAACGAAGCTTCCTTCTGTTTGGGACCGATCCAGTCTGACGGGTCACGATTTAACGGTAGTTCACCCACCCTCGAGTGAATTGGGTAACTTGCAGCGGTTGACGAGACCGCCGGGCGGATACCGAGCATGCACCGAGTGACGCGATCCATCGTGGGCCCGAGATCGGACCGTCACTCGGTCGAGTAAATAAAGCTCCGAGTCCCATCCTCTCGCGCTGATAAGGTTGCCAATTGCTTGATCTTTGACGACAATAGCTTCTCGCTTGAACCTAGGCCTCCACTACCAAGCAACACCACGCAGACGTAGCATTCGAGGCAAGATGACGCTCATCAAAGAGCCAATCATGGAGCCGGTGAACATCGCGGACGTTCACAAGATCGCGCAACAGAAGCTCGCCAAGCCAGTATGGGATTATTACGTGACCGGCGCTGATGACGAGTATACACTTGCGCGCAATCATGAAGCCTACAATGAGTGAGTCGCATCCCTCGCAATCTTCACCGCTGATTAGTATTCTAACCATTGATTACCGTGCAGCATCCTCCTACGGCCTCAAATGCTTCGCAACGTGAGCGACATTGATACCTCAACCACAATCTTCGGCAAACGTTACGATATCCCGATCGCGATCGCACCGAGTGCCTATCAGAAACTGGTCGGCGGGGAGGGCGAGCTCGACGTTGCTCGCGCCGCATTCAACCTCGGAACAAACCTCACGCTATCAAGCAACGCCACGACTTCTCTCGAGGATGTCTCAGCGGCAATCCCCCAGCGCGGCCCAGATTACCCCCGTCCTTGGTTCCAGCTCTATTTCCTCGGCAGCCGAGATCTCACGGCGAAGCTCATCAAGAGAGCCGAGAATGCGGGCTACGAGGCCTTGGTCCTGACTGTCGACACTGTCATCTTGGGCAACCGCCTGCAAGAACGGAGAACCCCTCTGGAGCTCCCTCCAGGAATTGCTATGGCCAATGTTGAGTCGCGCAAGTCCGGCGCCATTTCCACAGCCGGGCTACTCTTGCGCGCTAAGACGATGGCGGAGCATAAGAAGATCCAAGAAGAGAACCACGACCATCTCGTCGACGCCAGCTTGGAGTGGAACGAGGTCATTCCTTGGTTGAGGTCGCAAACCAGGATGAAGATCGTTCTGAAGGGAATTTTGACTGCGGAAGATGCGCAGAGGTCAGTAGAGGCTGGTGTGGATGCCATCGTTGTGTCAAATCACGGTGGGCGCCAACTTGACGGTGTGCCGTCGACAATTGAGGCGTTACCTGAGATCACGGACGTTGTCAGAGGCAGAATCCCAGTCATCGTCGACGGCGGTATCACAAGGGGAACCGATGTGTTCAAGGCCCTCGCCTTCGGCGCCGACCTGGTTCTCATTGGCAGAACTGCACTGTGGGGATTGGCTTGGGATGGTCAGAAGGGAGTCGAGGGAGTTCTCAACATCCTCGAGAGAGAGTTGACAAGAGCTATGGCACTGATGGGAACCGCAAAGCTCAAGGACATCTCAAGAGGTCTGCTTGGACGGGCCAGGCAGAACGGGTTCGGTGTTGCGAAGCTATAGATATGGGCGTTTCATCCTATCATGGAGTAGTCATGACCCACGCAAGATAATCTTAGATTGGATTTTGTTTGCTTTCCAGCCAAGCCCCAACGTATTAGACGATAGATCAATGCCGATTTCATTCATTCTGACCAGACGCCCTTCGAGAATGATTGATTAATCACCGTTCTGTGTCACCAGTATCGACTTCGCCTCAATAGATACTTTCAAACTTACTCCACATTAATACCACAAGGAGCTGAGTATGCGTGGTAAAGCGCAAGTTCTCATATGAGCCTCTCACCGATAACAAAATGGCTAAAGCACGAGTTCTATCGTCTTTGGAGGCGGCCTGACCGTAAACTTAGGGATCGTAATCCTCCGAAAGGCAAGGACAAGGTTCAGTACTCTTAAACTAGCCTCCCATTGATGAATAGAGGAGCTGTTACTCATGAGTCTGATCCAGGCCCTGAAGCGGAGGCCAAATCCAGCCGAATCAAGTAAGTTAATTCTTCAACTATAGTGGACAAAGGCAACAAGCAGTGTCAGAAGTTGCAAATGCGTAGAAATTTCGTGACACTGAACACAAAAGTGGTTGGACAGGCTGTTCGCCCTGGAAGGCTTCATCGCAAGTGGGATCTTTCCGAATTCCCTTTTTTCACCCGTGCAGTGGATTTATAGAAGTTACTTGAGTAATATTTAACTCTATAGCTCAAATCTTTGCTCGTCTACAAGAGCATTCCTAGGGTATCTCTATTGAGAGCACTCGCGATGTGCGAGTTCGTATTTTCGAATTCCAAATCAAGCCGCTGTAATCTCTCCACACCCTTGATTCTACTCCTCGCAAGCACCTCTGCAATACTCGGCACCCGGGGGAGGCGGGCACCGCGCACCATCGGGCACGATACCACTCGCACCGCCTGAAACACCCTCTCCATTGAAGTAACACTTTCCAACATCGTTCTGGCAAGGGTTACCCTCACCAGGGCAGCAGTATCCGTACGCGTTGATGTCAAAATTGTAGCAAGCGACAGGGTCGACCTTTGGCTCCGCTGATGGTGTAGCCGAGGGCGCGGGGGCTGCGGTGCTTGTCACCAGCATAGTCGTCACCTCCACGGTCTCCAAGATAGACGTAGTCGAAACAACAGGAGCACCCTCCCAATCTACGAGAGGAATGCCTGCAATTAGAGGCTTGAAGGCTGTCTGATTCATGCCAGACCAATCCTCGCAGACGTTCTCGACAGCTGGCTTGTAGGTCTTCTCTGCAGGCTTACTACAGGGTGCAGAACTGCTGACTGGCTTTGAGCTCGTTGTCGGGGACTGGGTTTGACGGGGAGTGTTGGTGGGCTCATCGGGCCCTGATTGCTGGGGATCCTTCGAGGGATCGCTGACTGTCTGTCCTTCGGGAACGGGGACAATGACGCCTCCGAACGAGGCAAGGCCACCGCCCGGTCCGCCAAAGGCAACGGCTCCCGCGGGGATGACGACTGCGACAGTGCCTGATACTGTGATGACTTCGGGCTCTGCGCTACGAGAAGGTGTCGGAGTCGCAACTCTCGAGGGAGCTACATCAGGCCGCTTTCGTTAGCAATGTAGAATAGATGGTAAACGTGTTGTTCTCAGAGAAGTGACTAGTGACTTACGCTTGCTGGTTGAAGTGATGATGGTGGGCGGCAAAGGAGTACGGGACAAAGAGGGTGGCGCCGACGAAGTTGTCGAGTTGTCAAATCGTACCTGGCGCTTCTGGCGCACCAAAGTAGAGGATGCAGGTGATGCTGGGCAAGCGGGCTGTTCTTCTGCGTTGGGAAACGCCATCGAATCAAGTGCAAAGATGGCATAGTTCTGCGCATTCTTTACCTTCTCTGCTGCTGACAAGCGGGAGCAGCTATACATTATAAGAGTTAATAGATTGATCTCTTAGGTGAGTCATTTCGAGTCCGGAAATGCCTTACCATGTGGCAGAGTAGCAGTCCTCAGACCTATCATCAAGGAATCCGAAGAACGGGTTCTTGAGATCATCCGCACGTTCTCCCGCACCCGTGGCAATGAGCATATGCTGGGTCTCATGGACCAAGACGAAACCCTTCGACATGTCGCCGATGGCACTTTCAGCCTGCCATTGCTTCACCATTCCCTGGTTGGTCGGCCGGGTCTTATCGAAGAAGGTCTCGCATAGTAGTAGTAAAGTGGTCCCAAAGACTGCGGCCTCGGTATCTGTCGCACTCTGTACACCCGCAACCATTTGACCGTCTGCACAGGGTCCATTGTTTCCGGAACAGCCGAAGACAAGACTCCTGTCTGTCACTGTATTGGGGGGAAACAAAGGCTCAGGGGAAAATCGGAAAGCTGTTTCGACACTCGGGGGCTTGAGGGAGTCGATTACAGGACGGTAGTGCTTTTCAATGAGATTAGAAGCTGAAGGACCTCCACTTTCTATGCAGTAAGGGCGAAGTAAGCGCTTTGTATCCTTGAAAGAGACGACAGGTGTGTTGGCTTACCAGGTCCGAACCACGAGAAGTACGCTGGAGTCCTCGCAACATTGGACTTTCCAAGAGCAGTAAGAGCTGCATTTGCGAGTTCATGTGCCTCGACAACGCCCTGATCTATATCTAAAATTTGCTGAGGGCTACATGACCATTGCCCCTTGATGATGACGGCTTCGCCATCGAAAAGATCGCGCTTGCTAATGCTTTGATGCGATGCATGTGATGTAACCACTGGCAACGACGCTAGCAGAGAGCCAGAAAGCAGTAATGAACGTAAGTTGAATGACATGTTGTAATGAGTGGACAGAACAAATAATGAGTGACGGAGGAGCTGGTCGGTCTGGCGCAGATTCGACATGCGCCGGTAGAAGCGGAAAACATACTGCACATTTATGGACTTCTACAGCCGGTAAGACCGGCGCATTCTCGAAGCCATCGTCTGTCAGAAAAGATCTAATTAATTATGATGCAGAATAAAGACCAGCTCGCAATTTACTTACTACGCATAGCGCCTCTTTGCCAAGCAGCTCTTAGAAGACCACATTGCTATCAATAGCACCCAGCCAAGCAGCGGGCCACAGACACGAGACCACATGAAACGCCCACATATTGCCACCCTTGGATTAGACACGATGACACGAGCTACAAGCCCCCGGTCACAACCTATAAGCATTCGATCGCTTAGATAAGGCATATTGAAAGTTTTGAGTACTTCGCCCCAGACAGTCTAGAACCAGCCTTAGTGGTGGCATGTTGTGGTCCACAATGTCGCGAAGACAACTTCACCCAGTCTATGTCAATCAGTTCATCCCTTCTGTGCAAACAAGCTCAAGGCTAACGTTAGGAAGAGTACCACTTCGAATCCTTCTGATGATGTGATGATGAAAAGTTTCTCATGCAAGACTGGATCGCGCCTCCTGCCCGCACGCCTCACGGACTTTGTGGATAGGCATGTTCCTGGCGTTCGCGATATGTCCAACAGCGTCGCAGAATATACCGCCTGGGAACCCGGGAATTCTGAATCTCACTGAAGACCAAACATAAATCTCCGTAAGGCTGTCAATCTCACAGAGCCCGGTTCCTCTACGCAACAGGGATGAGATGATTTGGGCGATGGTGTAGAGTTTGACGGCTGCGCGCGGCTACAACGTGACGCGCAGCTGCGGCATGGACGGAGAAGTCTAGTGCGTGAGTCCTTAGTGGTGGTGTGGGCCAAGCCACTGTTTTAACAAACTTCAATCTACGGATAGGGTGCCCAGAACGGCTGGTTTGCAACCATGCTGAACTTGGCAACGAACAAAGTTGTTAACTGCCATCATAGGCTTTCTCAGTAGGTACTGAAAGGCTACGTTGCCGGGTGCCGACTCGTTTTCGCCAAAGAAAACCGGGCGCAACCATTACACGGAGCTGTTGATCCACCCCGTCGGAGTTTCGGAGGGTTGCATTGCAGCTCTAGATGTCTTCTTAAGGAAGAGAACAAAACCTAAAAGTGTCAATCCTAGTTGAAAGACAGCCCAACAGTCTATTTGTCAAAAGGGCTTGGTGCCGCCGAGCCGCCAATTAACACAGGATCTTGGCAAGTTCGTGCCTGGTAGCCTTCGTGACGAGAGACATGACTCTTCGCCCTAGTAAAGAGAATTACGAACATCGGCTGTGCAATAGATACCAGTTTGATGGGTGCCGACATAAAATCGCACCCCGGATTGTCGGGATTACGATCACAAGTAAGGCTGACTCGCTCGTCTTTCATCCCAAAGCTGGGCAATCGATCAACGTTGTTGGGACGAAGAGCGAACTAGTCTACTTATGATCACTCTTGCCAACCGTGCGTAAGAAAGGCGACGCGTAGCCTCATCCGACCGGTACGCCTTCGGGCTTCGAGGGATCAAGTGAAACAGACTCGATGGCTTGGCATCATGACATAGAAGGTTTTCTGCCCAAGGTATCAGGAGTGGAAAAGAGCTCACGCCTCTCAACTCTTTTCGGGTTTCTTTTCCAGAGTGGAAGCTGATGGGCAATAGTTCCGTCCGATGAGCGGAGTTTCGAGTACTACTAGTACCGCACCAGCACCAGCGTGTTGACTCATGACTCCGCGATGAAGAATTACTAGTGTGTATAACGTGTGGCATGGAGTGGGTATAGTAATTGCATTGGAAGCTTTGTTGTTGAGCCTCTCATTAGTTGCCTCGGCTCAACTCTGTTAAACGAGTATGGAAGACTGCCGTTGAAGATATGGAGGGTCAGGCCGTTTTCTTAGACTTCACGATTACTACTAACATTTGCTCTCATAGGCGCGGAGGATCTTATACTAATAGGAGTACCTGAACTTCTTGTTCTCAAAGTCCGTCAAGTCCATGAGAACCTCATCAGATACATCCTCCGCATTTTGCCCACTGGCCTCCGCCTCCGCGTCTCTCTGTTTGTTCCTCTTAATTAACAACAGCCGAATGGCGATAGCCAACACGACTTGACCGGCAGTGCAACCCATGATAACTTTACAGCCAGTACCGTAGATGGGCGCTTCCGAAGCGAGGAAAGCTTGCGGGCCTATGATATTTCCCACGCAATACGCTAGAAAGACGAAGGCTGTTGATGTCACACGCTTGGTGTAACCCGCGACATTCGCAGCCGGCATTTGAAGCGCAACGACAAGAGCACCGACGAAAGAGGGACTCTGCAAACCTTGTTAGAAGCAACATTCGAGAAGGGAAAGAACACCACTTACAATGTAGTATGCCATCAACAGCCCGTTTTTGTTGCCGCGGTCCAGTTTCAAGAAAAGGGAAACAGCAATGAGTGTCGGCAAAACCCACGTCATCATGACAATGGTCCGGAAGTTTTTGAACTTCGAAGCGCAAAAGGGACCAGTGAAGATAAAAAAAGCAACCCAGGCTCCATACGGAATTCCGTAGGCAGTCGTCAAGAGGGCATCCTTTGTAAAGCCCTTAACAATGAGTTTGCCAAAGTTGGCGATGCCACCGTTGACAATCTCGTTGAGAAGGGTGTAGAAGAACAGAAGCCACACTTGAATGTCCTTGAATGCTTCCTTAATTTGAGCTGGCTTGATCTTTCGGCTAAAGACACCAGTCTTGTTGCTCTGGCTGCGAGCAATAAGCAGGGCCTTCTCTTCCACGGTGAATCGTTTGGCAGTCATGATGTTGTTTGGCAAGTAGAAGAACAGGACGATGCCCCACACGATGGTAAGACCACCGCATATAATGAAGATGATTCTCCAAACATCCCATCCGTCTGCCTGACCGACACCGTAGAACAGAATGCCGCCGATCATGGAACCGAATCCGTTGAAGCAGTAGAAAGATCCAGCGCGTACCGGCGCCTCCGCCCTGGTGTACCACATGCTGACGATCATCATGAAGCAGGGTGTGATGACGGCTTCGAAAGCACCCAAGAGGAAGCGGCAGACGGCGAGCCCAGCGAAGCTATGGCATGCGGCGGTGCAGGTGAGAACTGTTCCCCAGCAAAGGACGAAGATGCTGACAATGGTGCCGGTGGGGAAGTGCTGAGCAAGGTAACTTGCTGGCCATTCTGCCAGAAGGTAGGCAAAGTAGAAGATACTGGCCAGCCATGAATACTGGCTTTGAGAAGTATTGGTTGTTTCGAAGAGGTCGAATACTGCGCCGTAACTCAGGGCCTGCTTGTCGATATACTGCAGAAGGTACGTTCCCATGAGAAGGGGCAACAATGTGAGATCGATCTAAAAATGGCACTTGCGTTAGAATTCGCAATATGAAGACAGGGGATGACGCTGGAGTCCTCCAGAGGAACGAGACCGGGAAACTTACCCGGCGGACAAGCTTTTTCTGGGCCTGTTCATCTTCCATGAGCTCTCGCAGATGCGCATGAGAAAGACCATTTTGCTGCAAGAAGATTTCGGCTTCATCGAGAAGTTCAACCTGACCGGCCTTGAGGTCCTCGCCGATACTGCCCGGCCGAGAGGGTTGCTTCTCCGCGATCTCCAGATCCTTGGGCCTGGGCTGCTCTGCGTTGACGGAAGCCTCAACCGCCATTGTGGAGTCCGGGGAAGTGGGCGAGCGGGTCGTCGCTCTTGTGTTCAAGCACGCGATGGACGATGTGGGCACAACTAGTTTACAAGAATTACATGTAGTAAACGCAAGTTGCTATAATGAAGTGAGGCTTTACAACGTCAAGCGAAATTGTTGAGTCGCAAGCTCGGACAATTGCGAGATGTCGGGACTTTCCCGGATCGGCAAACTCCAAGGTCGGGAGTCTCCTTTTATTCATTGTCATTATCAGAGGTAAAAGGTTTCCGGCATTGGCTTTGTCGACTCCTCAACCAACCCCAAGACCAAGTCCCCAACTCGATAAGAGGCTAACCGATAGCGACTGTTCGAACATATCTCTGGGCGGCGGCCTACTCCCGACAACATAGGCTACAGATAAGATATCAGGCGATATTATCTGCCCAAGCCAGCGTCATATCCTAGCAGTCCTCACTAGCAAGACCCAATTGCTGATAAGGGTCCTGGGTCTGAAGGAAATTCCCCGCGTTGAAATGGGGGCATGATGAAGGAGTGGAGTCGCCGTGGACACTGTGCAGCCATTGCCATTGTCGGAAAACCAATGAAGACCGGAGAGCAGATTTAGGTGCCGAAGCGGTTGAATCGACGGTTGAAGAGTGAGTGGAGACATTTCGGTGAACCTCCGCCTTATCAGCTTGCGCGTTGACTAACAACTTATCTTCGTTAGCGTGAGTTGGTCGGGATTTAGCCATGATAGTGGTTGTGGACCTTTCCGCGGGGAAATATCAAAGACACAACTCCCACTCAGCTTCCCCGAGTGCGGTCTGCCGATGAACGGACTTTGCAAACCACGACTGAACGCCAGAAACGAGCAGTAAGCACGCAACCATGTCCACGGTCACAGATCAGCCTACGCCCCGGCCTTACCGGTCCCATTTGCGCCCAGCCTGTTTGCAGTGCAGGCGGCGCAAGTCAAGATGCCAGCAGCAAGAGGGAATCACGTCGTCAACCTGTCAAATGTGCCACGTCTATGGCACGGACTGCGAATTCCCACCGTCTCCTCGCAGTGCAGGTCGAGCACCGCTCAACCCCGGAAAAGTCCAGAAATCCTATCGCACCCCTCAGTCAAACACGCCATGTCGACGGGAGCCTCTGGCATCAGCCAAGGTCCATGTCTCTGTACCTCAGAGCCAGGGTGGTGGCATAGGGGCATCGTGTTCTCCACCGACAAGCACGACGTCCAGCTCGGGCCCCCAAGTTGTGCTTGATCCGCACAACACCCATTTGATGCTGGCACTGGACAGTCCTGAAGACGAAGACAACTCGCACATCATTGGTCCAGCTGTTACAAATGACACTCAGGTGTTGGCTGACTATCTGAGTTCTGAGCCAAGCATCCACGAACGGATGATCCGTGTGGTGAAGCCTAGGCCAGGAGCTCAGGTGGGCCAGTTGCCCCGTCCAACAATGGCCGGGGGTCTTCGGAAGCCAGTCATCTTTACAGCAGTCCGAAAGCGTCCCTATGGTCTGTCACCGAGGCAGACGGCACCGTTGCAAAAATATCAGATTGTCGAAAAGATGCTGGAGCCGTGGACTTCGAAACTTATAGATCTGTAAGTTCTGGCGGTGTTGCTAATGTGCCCTTCACCTCCAGGCCATTGCCATGTCAATGGTGAAGCCGTGCTAGCAGAAGCAGAAGTGGGCGCTGAGAGTCGTTGCTGACCTGACCCGCGTAGTTACTTCCAAAAGGTCAACATATGTTTTCCGCTTCTGGACGAGGTTTCATTCAAACACCAATTCAACACAGCCAGAGACAGAATATCGCCGGCGCTCTTGTCCGTGCTTTATGCCCACTCCATGATCTTTTGGAAAACCAGCCCAGAATTGCCCTCACAGTATTGCCCGGACTCTCGATTTATCTGGAATCAAGCCACAGAAACCTTATTTTCTGAACTCCATATTTCGCCAGGAATATCCACCATTATCGCCATTATCCTCAATGTGGGAGGGAGGCCAACTACTTCCATGATCATGAACGAGATCCAGCTCGGCGCCGCTGTATCACTTGCCCAGTCATTAGGGCTCAACAGAGACCCTGTGGACTGGAACATCTCCATGCCGGAGAAATGTCTACGAATGAAGATATGGTGGGCACTCGTGGTTCATGACAAATGGTGAGTTTACCGCCGATAACAAAGTAGAATACACCTAACCTAAGGTGCAGGCTGAGCCTAGCCTATGGAACGCCACCCCAAATCAAGCGCTATCAGTACGACGTGCCGGATCCCTCATTGGAGTATCTCACCGGGAAAGACGCAAGCGAAGCTCAAATTGCGGCCGCTTCGGTCTTTATCGGCCTGGTCACTTTGACCGGGGTTCTCGATAAGTATCTGGAGCATGTCTACAACCTCAACCAGGGTCGAGACCAAGATAGCAGCCAGACATCTCTTGACTTAGAGCTGAGCCTCGGTCAGTGGGAAGACTCCCTTAGCGACGATGTCAGGCGAATCATTACCCGCGGAAACAACCTACATATCCCCGGCGCGGCGAACCTGAGACTGGCTTATCTCTCAACTGTGTTACTCCGCAGGAGGATCGAGCTCGATATCGAGAAGCAGGAAGACGCAGTCCCCGGTGACGCACTCACCAACCGATACATCCAAGTTCGCCGCGCCGCGGAAGAGATTGTTCTCCTCGTGCAGGAACTGGAAGAGATCCATTTGAGCGACTTCTGGCTGCCGGTCAGTGCCTTCGCATTCACATCAGCAATGACATTCCTCTTGCGATGCGCTCTGGAAACCGAGAACACCGCCGGTGGCTTGGCTCAGAGTGCATCCTTAAAGCTGGCAAAGAACCTGATCGACTCATTACAATCTCACCAAAAAAACTCGGGATGGGATTTGGGTGATCTCTGCTTAGCTCAGTACGGCGAGGTTGTTGAGCGTTTGCAAACTGCCGACAGCCCTTCGGCAACGGTTCCGGAGTTTCAGCAACTGATGATGTCGTCGGATGTTCCTATGATTGATGAGCTATTTCCTAATCTATGGGATATGTTTTAATGTGATTGATGAGCGATTTGACGCCTCAATGTATGATAGTAGATGATAGGCCTATGACTAATGACTGAGCTGTTTCCTTCATTTCACGCTTAGTACTCACTGATTTCTCGAAGACTCCAAACAATACGAAGCATACCTCGCCGATGCTGAAAAGACTCGAGCTGAGTATAAGACCATCTGACTTAGTCTTCGAAGTTTTCCGTCTGCTTCCACCAAAAGTTGCACTCTTTCTCCGCCCACTTGTAGTCCAAAAACTCAGCCGAAGTCCCCAGACCAGATCCACCAGCACGCTCGTCGTTGCCCTCACCGAAGATCATTGTCTTCCCTACCTTTCTGCCTTCCTGGCCTGGAAAGGGTAGCCACTTAGGGCGACCATCAAACCTGCCCTTGATCCTGTTCGGGTCGCCATGAACAATGAAGGATGTTGCGTACGCGTGCATGAAGCCGGCAATCTCATCTTGCTTTGGTGAAATGGACCTGACCTCGGCATTGTAAGTCTGATAACGCATCTGGTCGCCGTGATTGGCGCCGTATAGTGCCGTCTTATTCAAGGCCCAGTGGTAGAGGTACACGGGAGGGTCACTTGATGACTTGCTCCCCCAGATCGCAGTCTGACGAACGGGGCATGTGTACGCATAGTGACCGTACGCAGCCTCGGCGCGCTTGTATTGTGATCCAATATCAAGAGGTCGAGTCTCAACGTATTCCGAGTCAGGGTTCTTCGAAGGATCTGAGTAGAGTTTGTTCAAATCTGCTATATCCTTGCCCGAAAGTTGGGGCAAGAGTGTGCGGAAGAAATTGTCAAAGTCTTCAGAGGCTGATGCCATCTTGGGAACGTACATTGCTCCTTCGTTATGGGCAGATCCTGTGAAAATAGGGACTTTGTTCCATTTTCCTGACTTCCATGCGTCGATTGGTCGCCTTGAAATGATGTCTCCGTCTAGCACCGGTTGCCAAGCCCATCGCACAGAAGGGTTAGATTGCTCATATATCTTCTGGCCAGACTCGATGATTGTGGAGGATGGCAGTGCTCGAAGACAGGGGAGTATCTCGTGCTCAGGTCTGTTACCGCAGCCGGTGAGTTCAAGGAACTCTTCGAAATGAGCTTCATTCAGCTTAGACTCAGGCGGGTGCACAACTCGAGCAGTGTGGCCTCCCGAGTCCATGATGGCTTTATGGAAGAGAGTCTTCTTCTGGTTGACATCCATGATGAGATGCCCGATCTAAGTGATGTCAGCAACGGCCAACTTGGGAGGCATGTCAAACAAACTCCATGCGCCGCGGCGGATAACCCCATGATAGTCACATCATCAGGATCACCACCAAAAGCCGCGATATTCTTTTGAACCCATTCCAAAGCCACATACATGTCTTTCAGTCCGAGGTTAAGCAGACCCTCTTTCTTCGTCAGTGCACTGTTCATCCCACCGGCAACGCCAATTCGATATTGCATCGACACGCCGATCCAGGGTTCCTCAGACCACGCCAGCATAGACGGGGTATTATGCATCCGTGCAGCACCACGGTTGAAGGCCCCGCCAGGAATCATCACAGCAACGGGCAGCTTTTTGGCAGCGGCCGTGTGCCCCTTGGGTCGATACACATTGATCGTCAGACAGTCTTCGCTTTCCCAGTCAGGGCCGAGCCATTCGTCATCTGTGAAAGGAACAAGCTGCTTTCCCGGGCATCTACATGTCTGTTAGCATTTGAACTTCTCGAAGGATTGGGTTCAGAGTCACCTTGGACCAAGCTCAAATGCCTCCAGTGTTCCATTCCCAGACGGCACCGGGACTGCATGTCTGAATCTTAATTGTCCGACTGGAGGAAGTGCATATGGGATTCCCATGAAACCCTCCAGTGGTTCTGGGAATGTGCCGTCGGTCACAAGTCTGCCCGCAATAGTGCCTTGATTGATTGTGACCGAAGCTATTGAGCTGTACTTTGATGTAGTCGACTGGCTAGCTCCATTCTGCCCTGTCCAAAGATAGGCGCAAATCCCAGCAACGGCTAGCGGAAGACCCAATGCCAATCGCCAGTTGGGACCCTGGTTTGTCGTCTTCGACATCTCAAATATCTGACAAAAAACTATGAGTCGTTCAAGTCCTTACACCAGATGATTCGACTCACATGTATCAGATCCAACAGACTTGTACACAAGAATGCGATGACTTATTATCTGCCTCAACGGATGCGGGAGTACGGCTTGATAGTTTGATGCCAGCCGCCAAGGGGCACGGTGCGGCCATCACTCGAGAAGATGCCGGCGGGATAAGCTGGAGAACCTCGCCGCGGGAAACTCCCGGGATCCCGAGTCGAGACGTGCCGCCGGCCCCACTCAAAGAAAGACGACTTCAACGTGGCCTAGATGAACGTGCTCGGGGAACGGATGCCGATCTGCCATGCAGAGAAATGCTGCCGCTTCCGAGCTTCGAGTTAAGCTTAACATCAACTCCGCTGATCTGCAGAATTGATGAAATGCACGTTCAAAGCGAATGGCCGTGTCTCCCAAGTCATATAGACACATCAATGCCAATGACTCACTTTTGGCTCCTCAAGACTCATCTAAATCATACACAAACGTGCATGATATTGATGTCACTTTTGTTCTCTTCACGTTGATGCGGTTCTCTCAAGGGGCATCCCAAAATTTGATTTAGTTGCACTCATGTAACTAGAACCAGGCGATCAGAAACAAAAACAATTCAGAAACATCAAAATCCCGTAGCCAAAAACATGTCCTTTCCCATCGCGATGGCAGACTAGTTGCAAATGATCTCCCCGTTGCCACTCTGCGATGGCCAGCCGGGGCACTCAACACAAGCCCCATCAGCATTGGGGTTGAATTTGCGGCATTGGCGAACAAAGTCATCACCATCGATGCACTTTTCTCCTGATGCGCATTGCAACTAACGTTCATGTCAGTACGTGTTTCCGAACCTTGAGACGATTTGATGTGACTTACGTATGAGCCACGCCACCTGACTCTGTCTGTAGCAGCCCAGGTAAGTGCCTGATGTGGTTGATAGACGATGGGTGCTACCAGGTGTCAGTATGCCGCCGAAGTATCAAGTTGAGGATAAGAGCAAACTCACCCCAAGTGAATGGGTTGCTGCAAGGGTCTTCGGCTACTTTCTTGGTAGTCTCAAAGTCAAGCTCCTTGTCTCTGCCATATTGGCAGGCACAGTAAGAGTGCAGATCAGCGACTGTTCTGTATCGTATTCAAGTTAGCTATGGGCAAATTAGTATTGATATAGCTAAGTACTTACACAGACGCAAGGAACAGAAGCCCAAGTGACTTGAGAAGCATTTTAGAAAGAGTGAGAAAGATCGTTGGTTTAAAGAGTGAAGTGAGACGAAAGCTCGATAGATGGTAAAGACAGCGATAAGGTGGTAGTGGATAGGTGGTGTGGTCCAGAAGACCTAGTACTCACACGGAGGACATGATTTATATACATCTTGTTTTAGTCGTTTTCAACTAGCAAGTCTGACAGAGAGTATATCCCGCCATGATGTTGCCGAATCCGTCGGAGTTCTCGTCGCAAGTCTGAGCTCGGCATCAACCGATCGCTGCTCAAAAGTAAATTAGATGAACGGAAAGCATGAAATATTGAGACCGAAAACTCTTCTCATGATCGGATGATTCGAGATGGATGAACTTATTCGAAGCACAGTCAACCTTATGGTTCGTGACCTATAGTGAGTGATTTGCACTAGCCGCAACCTACCTAGACTTATGGACCCCAAAAGCGCAGGGGTCACTGCATTCGTGGTCTTCGAACACAGCCCAGTCTCGAATGTCCCGATTCGTGAAGGTTCGCGAATTTTGAGTTCATCTTCGCCCTCTCAGTTTCGGCCAGATCGGTCGAATTGGCTTTGACTGGTAATGACTGTCGAATCAGCGTACGTGTAGTCATGGTTGTACCTTGCGCTAATCTAAGGGTTCGTTCCTTATAGGGCTCAATTATGAGATGTCTTTTTCCTAAGCACGAAGCCAGACAGAATCGTTCACATTACTACGTGCTGTAAATGTTGAAATGCTCTCATATTGATCGGTAATCTTTCCGTGGCGCTGGGAGATTGTTACCTGGAACGGCTACTTGTTGCTGTTGGGCGAGGCACTTTGTCTCGAAATTCAGGATTCATGAAGCCTAACCTCGGATGCAGGCTGGTATCACTGGTAAATAAGCCTGATGCCAAGCATTGCACACAAAGCCAAGTCGTTAAGCACTCTATGTGTTCATCTCATTCTTCTATAGACTTTTTTTGTCACTCCAGTACTTTTTGATGAGCGAACATCAGCTAGCAGGGGGTGTTGGCGGGTACAATCTCAAGCAAACTTCTGCGCCGCCTCGTTTCGGATGGTGAAAGCTTTGACACCTCCAATACGAAGTTCAATGTCAGCTAACTCTCGCGATCCTGACTCGGAATACACGAAAAACTCTACAGCCTATACATTTGGTAGAAGTTCGCCTGAATTCCGAGCCATCCGTGACTAGTTCAAACCAGTTCATCTAATATGCTTCTTTTCATACGCCGATTACCGACCTGGGCAGATTCCAGACATGGGCAGTAATCATTGAAGATGCGAGAGGGGCGAGTTGACATATGCTTATACTCCCTTTTGGCCAAGGGGAATATAAGTCGTATGCCTCCTCCGAGTCTTGCCAACCTGTACCAACGCCATCATCACACTCCTTTCGTTCTGAACAAAATCACTACTTTCATTTTCAAACTATCCAACGGTCACTTTCCAAAATGCGTCTCTCCTCTTTCGTTATGTGGGCCTTGGCCTCTACTGCCTCAGCCATCGCCATCGGAGAGCCCAGCCCTGTTGTTGTGGACCGGGAGGTTTCCTCTCCAGGTGCTTCGGAATTGTACAACGAGCTCAAGAACCTGGCCGTTCGCGACATTGAGGACACATTCAAGCGTGAAGCGTCCACTGACTTGGCGTAAGTAATTATGTTCACTTCGCACTCTTCGAACTTTTCTGACCTTAGCTCCTAGCCTCATTCCGAACCACCCCTCCGCTTTGGCAGCCCGTCAAGGCAGCTGGTTCAACTTTGGTGTCTTCAACTGCAGAAGAGCCAATCCCATCTCTGTCACCGCATATGTCGTGGCTGCCAAGGTCGCCTGGGACCAAGCCACAGGCCTGTGCAAGGTCTGGCTCTCGAACAAAGATTTCAAGTACGACATCACTGTCCGCCTCTCCAACAACAACGATCCCAACACCCGCCAAGAAGTCACCGTCCGTGCCGCGACTTGCAACTCAGAGTACTCTGTCTCTTTCTTGAGGGATGGAAGTGGATTCAAGCTTGAGGTTGGAGGACAGTCCAAACCGGCACCTTCCCCTCCCGGAACCCGTCGTTCCCTTCCTGCCAATACCTCTGAGAACCCCTTCCACAAGAGAAGACTCATGATCGGGGCTTGAGCATCAGAGGGGTTGGATTCCAGACAACGAGGCATTTTCAGCGAGCGGCGCAAGGTGGCGAATGCCGTCTTGACTAGGCTGGTTACACTGATGAAACATTCGGAAGGCAAGTCAAGCGCGAAAATTGTTGGCTGAATGTCTCTAAAACTCTGCTTGGCTAAGGTGGGGAAGATATTCAATACCGGTTCGAAGTATTCAAAGTTTAGTTCAGGGTTCTTTCTGGGTATCGGCTTAGTTCATGAAGTTATCGGGAGAAGTATCGAACGGAGGAAGAGATGTTCAAGGGCTTGTGGGGATTCCAAGATGTCGTATGCTTTATCAATTCACCATGATTCCATGTACGAGGTCATACCAACTGGCGATGTTAAAGAACTTTCAACCTTCTCGAAAACGTCTGCAATCTTTGGAACGTCTCAACTTGGTTGTTGTTATTCGTTGATTTCGACAACGCCAAGCTAATTTTACGCCAAGCTAATCTTACTCGAAATGGACCCTGCGAGGGAGCCACCGCGCATGCACTTACCAAAACGCTGACTGAACATCGACCATAATGAACATCAGTGAAAATGGCTCTCACATTGCGTTAAAGACATTTGCTACAAATTAGCTTCATAATGTAATGTCGAGTCATCTAGAAAGAATGAGCTTTTCGTAAGCTGCAACTGGAGGCGTGAACCGTGTGGGGCAAATGCGAGCCAACGGCAAACCACATCACGAAGGTAGTACAGCTCAACAAGTCCTAAAGCCGCATCGATTTCTGTTTTGTCAGACAGTAATTGGTGGAGTACAGCGCGGAGTTTCCTTTGCTTCCTCGCATGTTAGCAGTCTGCAGCTGTTCGGTCAAATCAAGGCAGCACGTCCACCGGTGTAGTCTCATCAACCTCGTATTGCACGAGTCCCCTGAATGCGATACCGAAAACTATTGCTACCTCGCCACAATTTTCCGGTAATACATAGAGGCATGTAAGAAAGCGTACATAACTAGCGTGAGGGGTACCTGCACACATTAATAACAGTAAATATTGCACGCGGCTCCCACTCGACCACTCCAATGACGAATACCACCTCTTTATGGATGTGACGGAGAGTGGGCCGTGGACAGGGCCTTACTTGCATTTGTCCATAGGTGCCTTGCAGCTTGTGGTGGGGGATAGCACGGCTATTCTGGGGAAAGGCCGCTCTGCAAATTAGGTGCTGCACCATCAGGTCAAACCGTGCCATCCTAGTGCCTGTAATGGTAAACGACGTGCCTATCCTTCGTATTTTAGACTACTCGCCTGACGATTACGACCGTATGAAGGGAAGGTTACATAGCGCGTCTTTGTTCTCATCGTTCATAGCGTATGGATACCCCAAGGCACTTCAACTTTAGGTGGGCAATTGGCGCCATGCGGCTATGACGATCATTCTCAAGTGTATAAATGTTAGAAACAACCACGTCCCTTCGAAAAGTGAATTCTAGTATCAATAAGACGCCCTATCTTCTTGCCCTTTTCTCGAGCGTTCTGACAAAGTTCCAATATTTCCTTGTAAATACCTTCGCCCACGATGCTCTTCAACGCCGCCTCCATTCTCGCCTTTGCGGCCACGGCCACGGCCGCCGCCGTCCGCAGGGCTGATTACGGCTCCTGGGATTTCTCTGGATTTGTCTCCTTCCCCGCTAGCGGCTACCTCTCCTACGGCGTCGACGCAACGTACACAAACAGCCAGCTCGCTGCACCGATTGAGGTGACATGCAGCTATCTTTACAACCCACAGACAAAGACCGAGACCGCGTCATGCTCTGACCCAAGCTTCACCTATGATTTCGGTGGCGTCCGTAAGTCACGACCTGAAGTCATCTTTATCAGTGAGAGAACGAGAACAATGGAATATGCTGATTAACATGGCCCTAGGCATGGCCAACACCGTCTCGACCGTGACCTTGACGCAAACTATCGAGTTAGATGGAAGCGCAGTCACCGTGACTGGCGCGCAGGAGTTTGATTGGGACTTCAGCAGCGGCTCCGGGCGGTCTGGAAGTGCCAAGGGACTCATTGTGGCTCAGACTGCTACCGCTTGAAGGTTACATACGGGGCCTGAGGGAAACAGAATGCATGTCAAAACAGACAAGACGTTGAGAGGAGATTGATGTCTTCGGAAGTTATTTTCTAATACACGTTTTACCCATGCTCGAAAGCTTTCGTGAAGTGCCTTTGGCCCATGGTTTTCCTTCTTTTGTGTCAATAATGTCATGTCCGATAATTAGCATGTTGGTTGGATACTTTAGCTATGAACCCTTTCAACTCGTAGTAAGATGACTGTTTTGCTAATTGCTTGGATTACTCATAGCTTTAGTAGCCATCTATCTTGTGGCTATCACCTGTTTACCATCCACGGCTTGACACTGGCAGAGGAAGCATACGGACCGCGCTGATCTTGTCGATTCATTAGCAAGCATCGTGTTTCTTCCGGCGTGCCCAGAAATGTATGCATAGGCCGACTATCTAATATGACCTTGACCCCGCGTCTTTGACTGAATGATCGTGCACGAGGAGGTAGCTATTGTCGAATCAACTATGTTGTTTGTCGAAGGGACAATGGGCCTGGAAGAGGAGTGCCTGTCGTCTTTTCAAGACCGGGGCGCCTTAGTCGCCTTGCATACGGCGGAAGTAAGAGTTTTCTCGACAGGAAAGAGGCTAGAACGGTACTGGGGATCGTGAGAGGTTCTTTTCCTCGAAATCAGCCATTTTGAGATATGACACTGCCAAGGAAGCTCCATACAGGTATTGAGCTTAACGCCTTGTACCGAACATCCTTAACTATCTACTGGCTAATTTCTCCGTAACAGCTCCGTTTGTAGTCGTGCATTCGTTGGTATTATGCTTTGAAAAGGCATCGGAAACACATAGCTCGCGCCTTTGTCTTTTCTCTTCATGGGCGCTGAGCAGATCAGGGAGGCCGATCACAAAGTGATGTATTGCACATATCTGCAAGCGGAGAGTGGTGGTTTCTTCACAACAATTTGAGGATAGCCGCCTTGATTTTGCACACTAGCCACCTAACCGCCCGTCTAGTATGCGGGGATGCTGTTGTTACGCGCTCAAGAGGTTGCATTTCTACTTTGGTCCCACTTTGGCCTCTTCAGTGGCTGGCGCGTAAGCCAACCGATGGTTTTGTATGAAGATATCGTCTAACGCATACATGTACTAAGTTGGTTCTCGCAGGAGACATCTACATTGGCCAAGGCCTTAAATAGGGTCAACGGGTAATAAGATATTGCATAAGTCCAGTCTGAGGGGGCGTCTACCCAGGGCCTGCACTATACTTCTGTGCACATAGCATACGTTGCTGTCAAAGCTGACGTTCAAGTTAAGCATATATAGAGATTCCAAGTTCGATGGGGATCATGTTCGACTAGGTATTCAGGGTTGACGTCTCCTGTCCGGAGTGCTAGAACTGGCGGCTGAGGGTGCACACACGATTGTCTATGTAGTGTCAAGGTAGCTTGAAGCAATGCATGATGTACCAACTAGACACTCAGCACAAGTGTGGAGCCACCCGTTGGAATGAGACAGCAAGACGCAAGTTTCTTGATGATTCTGGGCTGCACAGACCCCACACATGCAGAGATCAGACTTATGACAGACGCTCATGACAAGATGCATTGTAGTAAGAAAAGAGTATTTTTTTTCAGGTTAGAATCATCTTGGAAAACTCAGTATCTGTCCCTGGCCGTTTCCGCGACTGGGTTCAGTGCCGCCGAGCATTACATGCACGTCAGGTGAGAAATGTAAGCGCGCGCCTGCCTTTACAAGCAGCAGGGCTTTTGGCAGGGGTCGGAAACGCCGCCGTTGGTCGACCATGACATTGAACTTCCAGCCTTCAGACCAAAGCACATCATATATCTACCTAAGGAATGACTTCGGTCAAGTCCCCGACTGATTTCCGCGACACATTGCTTTCAATCACTGAGAATTAGCTCATATTTCATCCGATCGGTCAACTCAACGTTACGGGGAGCGTAAAAACTTCGTTCTTATTTCACCATGTCATTCTCAATGTTTTCTTCCGGATCTAGCAATAGGCCAACTCGAGCGGGAAGCGGTGACGCACGGAGTTTTCCATTCCAACGACACCGAGTTCATCCCAACGAATCTACGCACTTCGATCAGCCGAGACCCAGAGCCAACGGGCCATCAACCGAGGCAACTTTTCGAAACGAGTCTGGCAGCTTATCTTCCGGAAGAGATCGGTTGCCTGCAGGACGTAACGCCGAAATCCCCTTCGGAGCTACTTCTGGCGTAGATCCACAGATCCGGCAACCAGTCAGGAGATCGGCTTCGGGATACGCCGAAACATCGGAATCTGGTGCGTATTTAATGACTTCGGGCGCTTTTTAGGGGTTTCTTTAGATTGATTATACTGACAAAGCTTACATCAACAGAATCACGGCTCGATATTGGCACTGACATAGTGCAAAGCATACAGTAAGAGTTGCTCCCTTTGTGAAAGACAAGATATCTTGCAAGGCATTCCTGAGTCTTCTCAATATCTAAAAGTGAATTGTAGAAATGGCGAACATTGGGTCAAAGACTTTATCAAGGGTCGCGACACAATCATCGATACACGGCATAACAAGGACGTGGAGCGGATCAAGATCACCATCATTGACACCGGCCTCGATAGAACTCATCCATTCATCGTCAGGCGTCAATGGCAGGAGTTCAGGCAAACAGGGAACAAAAGTGTTGCCCTTTTCAAGGACTTTACGACAGAAAACCCTAGCGCAGAGGCAATCGACGATGAGGGACATGGAACTTTTATCGCTGGGATCGTGCTCCAGCTTGCGCCATTTGTTGAGCTTTCTATAGCCCGAGTGGGCATAACGCAAGTCTCTTTGATGGACGATCCCTACGCAGAAGAAAAAGTCACAGCGGTATGTGATCACGAGCCGATACATCTATGAAAGTCATAAACTTACAACTGTGACTAGGCAATCAACCATGCCATCGATGTGTGGGACGCAGACATTATCTCCACATCGATCGCACTCCCTCGAATTAAAACATCAGCATTTCGAGAGGCAGTCAGTAGAGCCACTTGGAAAAACAAAATAATATGCGCTTCCGGAGGCAACTTTGGGGGCTCAAGGGCCAATGTTGCCTTCCCTGCTCGGCTTTTGGGAGTTTTTAAGATCTTTGCGAGCGACCACCATGGCAACAACTGCGCATTTACCCCCAGGCCAGGCCTGGATGCGGACTTTTGCTTCAGCATTCTTGGTCAAGATGTTGTATCGATTTGGCCTGAGGCCCTATATCGTAAGGATACGGGTCTAACAGTGGTAGACAAGAGGAGTTCGAAGAAGCATCCGGGGCTCTGGGTGGCCATGTCGGGTAGCTCGTATGCGACACCAATAGTTGCCTCCATTGTTGCCCTTCTTTATCACTTCTACGACGCAAATTATTTTGAGATGGATCTCGGGCCGGGATTGGAATTCAAGACGATTGAGGCTATTCGGGCCATACTCCTGAAGATGAGCATGGCACCATCTGTTGGTCAGCATAATTACCTCAACCCTTGGGTGGGCCGGGATAACTACTTCAACTTCAGGGGTGAGGAAGATGGTGTGGCTTTTTTTACGCAAATGCTCAGGCATTGCTTGAATGCATGGAACAAGTAGTTGCTAGTGTTTCTTAATGATTTACCAGGCGCTTATTTTTAGACTTCAAAGACCAGGGATGAGTGTTAATGATTGAGAACAGCTTTCGGTACATTTGCCTCAAACTTTTCCTAATGGGTGCAGATGGGCAATGATCAGTTTCTTTTCCTTGGTCGCGCTACTCAGAGTCAAACGCAAGGAGTTCTATTCGGTTCTATCAGTCACATCAAACCGTGATCCCTTCGTCCAGAGAAAGAATACATTGCCAGAAGTCTTCTTTCTCAACCAGTACTATGCAACGGTTTTCTATGTCATTTACAATATGTAGTTTTTTACAACTCCTAATTCCAAATCTATCTCTTCAGGCCCGTATCCTCCTCAAGGCAAACCGCCCCCATACATTTCGGGTCCCAGCAGTGACCTGTTACTGCTGAGGTTGATGTAGATTTTACGCAGACTGTAAGCGACCCAAAAAATCGTGATCTGGCGTGCTGCTCTCGCCTTCGATTGTGCTCTGACCAGGTCTCCTCGCGATTTTGATGCCCGAGATCATGTAGAGCTCTTGTCTCTTAAGGATGCTCTTCCTGAAGAACCCTTCGCGTGAAAGATATTTCTGCACCCTCGCATTTTGGACGCTGGAAGTAACGTAATCGGATTCCCCGGCTCCTCCAAGTTGAAGAAATACCGTCTCGAGTTGGGCCGCGGTCCACGAATTTTCGTATGAGTTGGTTGCTTGGCGTGATGCCTCCACCGTGACTACGGATGGAATGTCTGCAAAGATCCCCATATCTCTGGTCGATTCTCGGGGCTCCCTAGGGACCAGTCCTTTTCGTGGAAAACATGGACGGCACCTGCAGGCTGGATGACGGGCGGCGCAATGTGCTCATCTGGATGGTAAAGGTTCTCTATGAGCTGACCGAGCTGAATCAGATCGTCAGGCTCGTAGTCGACGCTAGGGAAGATGAAATATCTGTTGCGCTCAGATCTCATGTTCACGACAGGAAAGGTTGCGCCTTGGTAAGTATGCTTGAATCGTAAGGTCGTGGATAGTACAGAAAGAAATTCCCTGGAAAGCCAAATCAGTAGCTGCATCAGTGAGACCCTATGACATGTGCGTCGCTGGATTGGCTTGAGTTCATTGCGTCCCTGTGGTGAACGTGGATGAGCACTCAACTAAGCGCGCGCGTCGCAGGGTCGACAGCTGCATGCAAGATGGCGTCTGTCCGCCGTTTTTATAGAATTGCATCTTGTGAAGCCTTTTATTAAACTTCAATCAATTTGATTGGTAAAAGCACTTTGGCAAAAGCGAGTGAAATGGGTCCTCAGATCGTTGCGTGTTCAGCTTTCTGCTGGCAAGTGCGGTCTTGAAGGTCGCAACGATTCATGCTACGTACTTAGCTTGTGGGGGACCGGCAATGCGCTCTCTCCCCAAGCGGGCATGCATTGAAAGCCTTGACCAACATAAATCCCCAGATGTGTGACAGGCTCTTTCCATTCCTTTCTCCGTCCATCCTCTCATGTACCTTCGTCGTACTTCACCAGCATAATGATACTTGCGACAGGAAGACACAGCCTGCCTGGAGAGGTTCTTGGCTGGAATAATTTCTTTGTGCCGCGAAGGCTCCGAACAACACTTCCCCATAAACGCAAATATGGGGGGGGGGGGTTGCTTGTCACGCACCAACGATGTTGGCTTGTGTGTTTGTGGTGCACCAATGGCATAAAACTGAAATACGTGAGCCCACAATACCAGGGATGCGGGGTAACTGATGCACTAATCACGGTGGCTCAAATCCGAGTTACTGCTATGGACAGGCAGAAGAGTTTTGGTGACATGACCACCAACGTAGCCCGTGAAATGAAGAGTTCGAGTTTATCTGGATGTTTCTTGCAGTCATTCTCGAATCTTTCAGGAATTCTGATTGCCCGCCATCGATCCCGTTTGTCCTCATCTCTGTATTGCAGAAGACCACAAATCAAGTTGTACACGACGACGCCGAGAGACCGCACGTCGACCACTGCGCAGTAATAAAGTCATTCGTCTTGGCCGTGTGGCTGGATTCCTGATGCAATCTTAAAACAGGCGCCGCAAATTGTCGACAGCTGAGACTGGTGTTTGGACAGATGGAGTGACTCATCTTCAGTATGGTCAACGATGGGATAATTTCCTCGATCACATCTAACAAAGACACAGTAACGACCCAGAAACACATACAGTGACGCTTATCTTACAATAATTCATCAAAGAGGCGCCCAGCTTGGTCTCCTCTCTTTCTATGTTATCTTACAGCCGAGGCTCCGCCAAGATGATGGTGATGATGAATAACAACAAATCTCAGCGCAAGACGAATCTCATTCTCCTTAGCACCGAATACCAGCCCGACGAGCTTATACAACTTGGCTAGCTCATCGAGGACCCTCGCGCTCCTTACGAACCCTTAGCGCCTCCCATCAGGCCTTTCGCTACCAATGCCTGCCGTGTCAGCCACGAACGCAACTGGTCCTTGACCAAATCCAAAGGAGCAGCCAGACATACTGGTCTCAGAATGTTTGTTCGAATATCAATGGTATATATAGATCATTGATAGAAAGGAAACTCGGCCGCAAGAGACTAAGACGCAGCAGGGTCGGCTTAGCAGCCGTACGAACTGGGAGCTGTGGGGTCACCGCCAACATAGACCTGCTGCAACGGCCAAACGCAAAGATTGCTGATATGGCTTCCAGTCGTCTGAGAAACGGCAGCCGAGGTTTCGGGGGCTGTCCCATTATCCACCCAGGTCATGAGCTGGTCGAACGCACCGTTGGGAATGGCACCTACACCCGTGATGCAGTGCACATTCAATCATATTCCCCGACCATGCCCCCAAAAAGCTCACACATGGACGGTGTAGACAAACTTGCATCATGACTCGGCTTCATTGGATTGATCGTGAGTGGTATACTCTAGTAGGATGACCACTTCAAGTTCACCATTCCTCATCTTTCCGCGGCACTTTCTCATAAATTGATTATCTTCTCCCCCGAAACTGTTTTTCCCATGACTGAAACCGTTCAAACGGTTCTCATTAAATTCAGCGTGCCTTGGATTTCAACACAGTTCTTAGCTTCACAAAACTCCAAATCCATCAGAGCTAGTGGGCCAGTCTTTCATCGAGACTTTGGGGGTTCAATGGTCTCTCCAGGCTTGGTAGCTGAGATGGCGATGTACCTCCAGCGACCCTTGCCCCGGTAAGTCTCCACACCAGCGACGGTGTTGATGAAGTAGCGCTCAAGGCCGAACGCCTTGATGAAGATGTAAGGGATGATTCCAAGGAGGAAGAACAGACGGCACAGCGGGCGAACGTTCTCGGAGAAATCGCGAACCTCAACATCCACAAAGCCCGCTTCCTCCATGAGCTGCTTGAAAACGCCCGGATGTGACCGGTCGTTTGTAGGCATGGCGGCATGCTCATTGATCTTGCGCATATTTTCGGCCATGACTTCCGGAGAGTCCCCGATGAACTCGTGGTCGTACTCAAAGTTGGCAAGATGGCCGCCGGGCTTAAGCAGTCGGAAGAAGCCTGCCAGGACAGTCTCCGGGTCCGTGGCGTGAACAAGAGTCTCCATAGTGTAGATGCCATCAAATGACTCGTTTGACAGCGACTCTAAGTGGTGGTAATCTCTCCTGTTGACAGTCACCTGGTTCTCGAGACCAGCCTTCTTGATGGTCTTCCTCGCCCTCTCTACATGGCGCTGGACGACATCGAATGCCTCGATTCGGAGGCCATGCTTGCTGGCAAGGTGCTTTGCAACATGGCCATTTCCACAGCCAGCATCCAGCACCGTTGATCCTTTAGGCAAATTCAGGACCTCGGCCATTTTGTCCTCCATGGCCCGTAGGCCGCGACTAAGGGGGAAGGGGAAGTAGGTGTCATTATCCCAATAGCCGAAGTGCCGTGTTCCTCCCAGAACCAGGCGGTAGCCAATACGGGACTCGAGAGACGCGTAGTAGGATTGCAGCATCGGGTTAGAGTTGATGAGAGGCTCCATTTCTGTAGTCGCGGTGGAGGAGGCCATCATGGGTCCGATGCGACTGTGAACTGACGGGAAGGTCAATCGCGGGGGCGGGTCTGATGGCTTCCACAACTTTGTTTGCCGTAGGCTTGGAATGACTCTCAGGGCAAGACGGATGTTTTCAGACAACAAACGAAGGCCACGGAAACGAGGGGGAGGAAGATATTCAGAACGCGACTGACGGCGAAAAGGGATACGCAACGAGTAAGAATGGGTGGGCTTGACGACGGGCGGCTGTCCGCGCCATGCGGCCGTATCCGCGCTGTCGCTGATTCGCTCGTTAAGAGACGTGCTTTGCTTACCTACGCGGATAGGGGGCGTTTTCCAACAGTGTTCAATTTCTTTGTCATACTTGCAAACTCTGTTGGGACTACATCCTCGTATAAGCAGTATGCTTCTGGTATATACATATTCCCGAGTGTCAATTCTGCTCGATATCTTCCAAAGTCTTTCTGTGTTTTCCTCAAGATACTATTCTGAATCTCTTATGTTCTAAAGTTTAAAGTGGTTATACGTAATCAATGGAGACCACCTTGGGGAAGGCAACATAGAAGAGAAAGGTACGCAAAGAACGCTTAACAGATCCTAAATTCCCTGGCCCGTAAGGTACTATTTTCGGTAGGTGATTATACAGCTTAAGGCACCATACACACATACTGAATGGGCACTGTTGAAACACACATACCCCTCCCCGCATAGGTCGGGAGTTTGTGTGGGTGTACTGTATTGTTTTTTCTGAATTCGGAAGGATATTTTAGATCTCTTGTTTTACTAGGTGAGGATTCCACGTCGGGGATGACTCGGAACATGCCAGATTGAAAGGAGGCCCCCGTTCAATGGTTTTCAACCCTTTAAACGTAAGGAGAGTAACCAGGGCATGATACTTCCGTGCCGAAACGCTTGCCCGTCAAGACCATGCATCCTTTTAGCTAGAATCGTAGTTGAGGCCAGGAAGCTACACTCTTTCTCCTGCTTCGACGCTTCCACCATACTCAGCTATCTGCCTCACCGGCACGGTGTTGTCTTGCACCAAAATGCCTCAAGGTCAACAGGAGTGTATTTGGACGAGGGTCCTTCTACATTTGAGAAGTAGACTAGCTCGACTGTACAACTATTCATCAAGAAAAAGAAAAGAAAACCTTTTCCGTTTTCAGCAGAACCATCGTGACTCTACAAGTTGATTTAACCTTCTTAGCACTGATTTCATTGAGACATCAAGACTGTTATCGGCTTCCACTGTTCAAGACTGTATAGGTTCAGACTCGTTGATACATGTAACCATTACAATCGTTTAACAATGCCTACAAGCCCTAAGACTTGGTTGCAATTTAGACATGGCGCTCGGCCCAGCTCTGTATGAGACCTTCAACTGTGGGCTCATACTCTCTCAAAGTAACCTCATCCTCTTCCAGAGACGTATTGGCATGGACAAACACAAGTGGCGGTGGCTTACTAGCCACCACCACCTTCCGCCATTCCAGATGCTCCTGAGTCAATGTCGAAAGCATTTCGTAGTAAACGCGACATGCCTGTACATCTGCTGTGCACCGGTACATGTGCAGATGCAAGAGCATCCTGCCCAGTGCTGGCTTTCCATGAGTGGACATTTTTGCTCTATTGACTCTGACTGTCAAAGTTTCAGCAGTCTTGTCATGTTCAATTTCCACACAGTCCCCGCCGTCCTGAAGTAGCCAGTTCAGAATTGCGAAGTGTGCCTATCAATTTGTCAGTATGTGGTCTTCGCATTAATTACCTGCGTCTTGTGCTTACTCGACTGTGGGCTTGACCCCAACGCTATGACCAGATGTCAGCGAATACTTTAACTTGATAGATATGTTCTTTCAACCGTACCTTGCTATCGACATTGTAGTTGGCAAGACCACGCAGACCATCTACACCCAATTGCTGGTACATGTTGTACGCGACTATTCGACCGCGCACGTCAGTATTTTAACTGGTGCCAAACATTGCCGATTGCTTCTCACTATCGTCAGCTGTCACGTCTGTGGCATCTGTAAATCCAAGAACTCCCAAGAGATCTTTGTCATCCATCAGGTACGCCCCAACTAGCTCTGCTCTGCACTCATCAACTGTTGTGGCGAGATCTTCAAATTGACCGGTCCAAGTCTGTCCTGGCTTATACCAGGATTTGATTGGGTGATCATCGAGAGGATTAATGGGCGGGTTCTGAATGTCGAAGTTGTAGTCCCCTTCTGCCGTTTCAACCATCATCCGGCCTGTGCCATGTCCAAGAAGCTCGTGCAGAACAACCCACCAATAGTAGGTCGGGAACTTAGCTTTGCGGAATGCGGCTTCTTCGGAGTCTTCGATGAATGCGTAACCCTGTGCCTTACTCTCCGCAACCATGCGATTGGCAATGATGACATTCTTGAAACCTGTCTCTTGTCTGATATCGTTGTACTGTCAATAAGTTAACTTGTGCCGATAGCTGACCAAGCAGAAAGTTGGAAAAGAGTACGTTGGGTAGGTTGATTCCCGGAAATATGATACTGGAGCAATATGCCAGCGCTTTGGAATGTCAGTAAGTTGATGTTCCCGTGATTTCCACAGGAACTTACTATGTATACTTGAGAGATCAGGAGGGTCAAACAAAGACTTCTCAAATACCCCCTTTCCGTCGTTTTCGGGACTGGCCCAAGGTAACTTGCGAATGAATTGTGTCGAATTCTCGACCAATCTCGTCAGTTTCCTTGTTTCCGCGGCGTCTGCGATCGCAACAAGACCCTCAAACTCGGCTCGTATTCCATGTGGATCTCTGTATGGCTCAACGAAGCCGAAAATATTCTCAATCTCCGGCGTCTTGTCCTTCACCCAGTTTCGCAGTGAATCTCGATACTTGGCTAGGCTTCCAGTCCTGAAGCTCTCCACGTACTCTTCGATGAAGGCTTTCTGGAACTCCTTGGATGCGAAGTTCGCCGCTTGTGTCAACTCGACGCACATTTTTTCCAGCTCAACTGCATGATCCCCCATCACGAGCTTCACGCTGCCTCTTTCGTCAGGCAACGGCAAGACACCAAGACTTCCATCATGGGAAGAAGCGATCTGTAACTCAAATTCATAATCCCCGTCTACTTTCATCAATCTGGTGTTCTCTGGGTAAATAGAGTTTTGCTCTAGGACTTGAGAGACCATTGCGATTTCCTCTTTATCGATATGGTTTCCCGGGTAGTAAGTGCTTTGAGTGGTATCCCCCGGGTATCCAAGACTGAAGGGCGGTGATGAATAGACAGCGTCAGCAAACGAGCTATACAAAGCTTGAAGTCTGTCAGACTTGGTTGCAATTTTTGCGAAGACGGCCCTAGGGATGGCTGGGATGAACTTCTGGTCGCCGGATCCCTAAAATAGTTAGCGGAATCAACTCAACTGAGTTTTGCGACGACAAACATAGTAGTTGCCTAAGTTGGACAAAAAGGTTGCCACGTAAGTGAGGAATTGGTGCATGTCTTCGATTCCAATCTCATCAGCAAGTTGATCCCAACCGCCATTCTACGCCGCGTGAAGCTCGAGGATGAAGTCAAATATTTTCAGCGATTCTGGCGAGGTTTGTCGTAGAATAATTCTCGCCCCGTGCCATGCTGCACTTCTTGAGTGTCAGCGAAGCAGTCGTGTCTCTTTCATGTCATCACTTACCGTGCCATATGATGGGCATATCTCTGCTGCGACTTGCTCAAGCCTTCAAATTGCGACCTGACGTCCAATCGAAAGACCTGGACGGACTGAACCTCCATGATAGCTCACAACGAAGGCAGAATCTGTGCTCAATGCCCCGAAAACTTTGAAAAGTTTGGGTTATATCTGCATATGAGGAAAAATGAAAGACTCTCTCCATAAGACTGAGTGCTTTTATCATTGCCAGGTGCGGGGTGCTTGTTTGGGTAGGCGGCCCGTAGCGACTGTCGTACCACTAGGGAGATGCATTTATCTATATACTGCAGAGCTGATTGGGCTCGCGTAAATGCCAACAATAGTCTGAAAGATCAATGGTGTCCGGATATGACCTTGTTGATTGTTGGTTGGGTTGGTTGAATGTTGGTTTGTTCCGCGCCGGGTTGACGGGCAAGGGCAGAGGGCGCTAATCTCGATCATCGGAAAGTTGCGGTTTCCGTGCCCCAATCAAGCAGCCCAATCACAATAAGATCACAACGACACAAAAGGCACTTAACAATGTACTTATCTGCTTGGACACATTTTTTCATGATGCTTTTCTTGTCGTTCTGGCGCCGTGAATCACGAATGACCTCTTATACAGGGAAGGATACCTTGCCGGTTGACAAGTGCGTGTCACCTCAGGTAGTATTATCAAGTGGTTCCGAAGGTGCAGGTCGCCTGTATTATCGACGGAAGGTTCTGTTTAGGAATTATAACAATGGTACAGGCACGAAATTTGTTCATCTGATCGGGGCAGGACAAGACGACCTAGGATGCGCATTCGAGTCTGCATGTGGGCACTGTCAATTGTTTCAAGCCTCTTATTTGATGTTCTGAGGGAACGCTGAGTCAAGAGCATATATCATGAGGAGCGTTGCCCATAACTCCCTGTAAGTCACCGAGTACTCAAGCCTACTAACTCATCTCAGCCGAAAAGAAATTGTTTCAGAGTCTGTGCGGAAGATTGGTGAGTTCTTTCTTTCTGTCGCTAATGCGTGGGGTCATCTTACCTTCATGTCGCGTCAGACCTTAGAATCTACATTGGGAAGGTTGGTGCGAGTAGGCATTCCTTCGTGGATAACCTGCTGATCTTATCAATCGGGACTTGCTGTCTTTGAATGAGCTGATATCTTGGCAGCAAGCATGTAAGGGCCGTAAATCTAACGGTAAGATCTCACGTAAGGCGAGTTATCGGTTCGTCACACCGATTGTGACCTGGTAAGTGTCCACAATAAGCCGACAACACATATACAGCGCGAAATCGGATGCGTTATCCACTCAGGCCTTTACATGTAAGCTGACGGCGCCTGCAAGAGACCGTAATGTCTTATTAACATTTACGAGCATGTACAATGCCAAAGAGGGCTGATTGTTGCTTCAAACCCTGATCGAGCGATGTTTGGAACTGGTCTCGGCTCCGCTACATAAGAGCACAGGATCCCTGTTTCCTTCGCCTTGTTCGCGCCCTTTTGCCTTGGACTTTATTCTGAAAGACCCTTCGTACGGTGTCAACATGGCAGCCACTGCTTTCAAACGCGCCAAACCCTTCTTCGCATGTATCGTGGGCCTCATCGCTGCGGTTATATCCTTTCGCCGTGGTCTAGGAGCCCAAAGTGAACAGTTCACTCCCGTCATCGGAAAGAACAACACCGTTCTCTTCATCACCAACATTGAGCACGGTCTTTCGAATGTCCACGTCGCAACTGTTTACTCCCTTCTCGAGCGCCACCCAGATATCACTATTCACTTCGCGTCATGGTCCAAAATCAAGCCCAAGATCGACAGGATAACTACCTACGCACGCAGAAAGACACCGCAAGCCCGTTCTGTTGTATTCCATGACCTACCGGGCCCGAACTTCCAGGAGGCGTCTGGGCGGAATTCCTCATTAAGCTGGATGCAGCCGCCCGGGGTCGCAGGGCTGACGGGTCTGAATGAAGATATGGCGCAATTCATCTCGCCATGGTCTGGGGAAGATCATCTCCTGATATACGAGAGCATAAGGGATCATATCAGAAATATTGATCCTGCGATCGTGGTACTTGACATGTTTCACCGACCAGGGATGGATGCAACACGGGGAGACGGGCGCCTGCACGCAATTTTATCACCGAACGTCCTAGCTGACTGCTTCGCCGGAGACCAGCCATGGCTGAAGGGATTTTGGAAGTTCCCAGCGTAAGCCGACATTCAGTCTATGATCTCCGACCTCACAGCACAGCAGTGCAGACTGACATGTTCTCTAGGGTTGGCTCCGGTCACGAGTTCCCCGTTCCTTGGCGAGATATCCCTACGAACATTTACCAGATGGGAAGTTTCGCATGGACAATGATGTTTAATGCAGAGCTCAACGAGAAACGTAAATTTCTTGCCAGTCATGGACTAAAAGACCCAATCAACTTCTTTAACATCCATCAGCCTGGAAAAGGCGCATTCATTACCCAACACACCCCGGCGGCGGCCATTCCTCTCGATTTCCTTCCCGCCAATGTCACTACTACAGGACCCATTGTCATCTCGGGTACCTCGGCAGAAGAGCAAGATCCCGAACTGGCCGCCTGGTTGGCTAAGGCACCGACCGTGCTCGTCAATCTAGGTAGTTTGTTCGAATACGACATAGGGAGAGCTCAAGATATGGCTGGTGCATTGAAGGTCGTCATGGAGCGTACGGATGTTCAGGTTCTGTGGAAGCTCAATAGAGCCGCCAGTCTGAAGGACGAGAACTGGAAACCCTTGGTAAATAAGTTTATCAGAAATGACCGTCTGAGGGTTTCAAAGTGGTTAACAGTTGACCCGACTGCATTGCTGGAGACGGGGAACATTGTTGCCTCTGTCCATCACGGTGGTGCGAACTGTTATCACGAGGCTATTAGGTAAGTCTCGGCTCAGTTGCGTCGTGCACATGTGCTTTTACAACATGTATCTTACTGATGCTTGGCCTTTTAGTACCGGAGTACCGCAGCTCATCCTTCCTGCCTGGTTAGATCTCTATAACTACGCTGCACGTGTAGAAGCGATCAACATTGGGGTTTGGGGCAACAGGAAATCTGCTCCTGCTTTCTCGCTCAGCGAACTCAGCAGCGCATTTCTGAAACTGGTCGACGGCGGCTCTGCCAGCTTATCGATGAGCCAAAACGCAAAGAAGATACAGAGAACTATAAGTCGCCCAGGACGTGATGTTGCAGCTGATGAGATTGCAAGGCTTGCAGCGTTAGGCCATTAGGCCGGTACATATCTCACCATGTGAGACATCTTTTCAATTTGAATGTAGATCAAAAATACAGCTCTGTATAAAAAAACCTCTATCTCGAGATACTGACCATGTCCGTGCTACCATATATTCCTAGCTCATTCCAAAGTTGCATGTTCTCTGGCCTCGATATACGACCCACATAGCGATCATTTTCTTTCGGCTTTCTTGAAATAAGATCCGAAAGACCTTCCCCTATTGCCCTTGAAGCGCTGTGTGTTGCCGAAAGGAGATGGTATAGCGACGTCTTGTTGTTTATTGAGATCCAGTCTTCAAATTTGGAAATCGGGCATCGTGCTTCAACCCACTCTGCCAGTAACGATTTCGAGTATCGGTCATGTTGTCTCTCCAAGTCCCATTGAGTCATCAGAGCTGGGTTCCAATCTTCACCCGCAACCCGAAATTCCCACGGATTTTGGTAGTTTTCGGGAACAACCTTCGAGCCATTCCATACCAATCGGGCTGTAGAGAGGTACCAATCTGTAGCCTGCTGGGCCCGATTCCGCAATCTGCAACATGAACACTTGGTAGTAGCCTTCAGGCAAAGCAACATGGATCAATCACAAGATCTCTAAGTTCAATTTCATTTCTGGACGTTTATTAATTTTGATATCTTTTCGCAGTATTATTGAGGTCCCCCTCCCCTGTGCTTTGTGAAAGACACACAGTGAACCCATGGTATACATGAGCTGTCAGCCATGACTAGCGCTCTGTGAGACTTCGCCTCTCACGGGGCAGTAGCCTTGACAGAGGTGGTGGTGAACTCGGCACAGCCCTGTCCTTGCGCAGACACAGTCACCTGTGCCTTATTATCGTGGCCGTTCAAGCAGGCGCCGCCAGAGGCAACAAGCTGGTTGCCAGACTGGGCCACGAACTCAACATTCTTCGAGGCGCAGTCTTCAGCCCGGAAAGCGGTGCCGTTAAAGCCAACACAAGCCTGCTTGTTCACCAAGTCAGGTCTGAAGCCGGCAGTGAAAGAACGCTGGACGAGAAGAACGTTGTTGCCGCCCTGGGTCGAGGGGGTGATCTGTCTGTCCGCAGCGGTGTTGACACAGGCAGCGTTGACGATCTCGCCTAGCAGATAACACGTGTTAGTGTGAGGTCGCCTCAGATAGCGTGAGAGGGTCTTAATCGCAGGGAATCGTACCGTTGTTGCGGAAAGTGAGGCACTCGTTTCCGGGCACACCACCCTGCTCCTTGAAGACCAGAGTGCTACCGCCCTTCTTGATGGCCTGGCGCTTAGACAGATCTTCGGCGGGCATGGCGGCCACGAAGGTGGCAAGGGCCAGGGAAAGAGCCGCGGTGAACTTCATATTTGCTGAGGAGGCGAAAAGGTCGGGTGAAGAATTGAAAATTTAAGTTATATGAACAGTTTAAATGAAACAAGGGACCAGCCGAACGAAGAGAAGGTTTGCAAGTTGGAAAGTCGAGTGAGCGAATGGGATGATTCTCAAAACAAGTGAGACACAGAAGTCGAGGCCATCGAGTCGTCTTTAAATCAAAGCCAGCAACACCGCCAGACTGCGGCACCCAGGCTGCAAACTGGAGAAACTGAGTCTGGCAAGGGAAATTAAGCTTGATGCGACACGTCGCACCGCCTTCAAACCACCCCTCACACCTGCGACCTTAAAACGGGCTATACCGATCAGCCATACGAAAAAGATGAGGTGAAGGCGGCCCCGGCCCAAACAAGGAGGGCCAGGAGAAGAAGAGACGAGTTTTGACCTGGTGTCAGCTTTTGCCGAGTTTGTCCAGCACCCTCTCCCAAAACGACGAACCCCCAAGCAAAGGCTAAGCAGGGGTGCTCTGACGCTGTCGCCAACAGCCAAAAAGAGGAAAACCCCACCACCACAGCCATTCGCTGAAACGTCTCAAGATCGGTCGGTTGCAGGGTTGCGCCCAGCCGAATCTGGGGAACTACCCCTACAGTACTACCAGTACGCCAGAAATACGGTTTCATCGTGGCACCTCGTCAAGGAGCCGCATAACTTTAGACTGGCTGCCATCTTATGTAATTTCGGATATCTCGGTGTCAGACTTTGGTTGGCAGGGCGGGAGATGACCCAGATTTGCGCTTGGAACCGAAGATCCCATCTTTTTGGGAGGATCGAAGGGGGAATGATGGCCATCAAGGGGGCGTTCTTTGGGTTGAAACCGGCGGCTTCTCGTCTCGCAGTCCACTCGAATCACACTCTATCTCGCTTTCGGAAGGTCTTGTCGGTCTTGTGCGATGAACGTGAATTACAACTTTTCGTCTATCTACATTCAGACTGCGAAATACTGGCCTTGTTGCTCTCTGATTTTCTGTCACTTCCCTTCTCCCCTTCCTGCCGAAATAGATTGGTCATCAGGTACGGGAAAGCTGACGGCCTTTCCATGTTCATACGTCTGCCCTACGGAACGGTCGATTTTCGGTACTTGTCGCCACCATCTTGGGCAAAGACAAGGTGTCCCAATTTGAGTTCTCCGTGGCGCAAAGTCTAGCCTTGCTCTGCTCTACGTCGCATATGGCTACCCTCGACATCCTCAGACAGACATACAAGTCCCAAAGTCGATGGTTCTTTAATTTGCGAGTATGTACCATGGTGTGCGTGCTCATTCTTTCGACGTACACGACCGCTGTGGTCTCGGATATGGACTGGCACCACGGCGGCGGGGGTACTGCATCTGCAGCATGTTTAAACCCATCGAGCGGGATGTCAGTCTGGTATGCCCAATACCCACTCATCCCTCTTCTGTACTTGTGGAGCGGCTACATTTTTCGCTTGCAAAACTTCTACCTGAAGGATCAAACTGGGCGAGGCGTTGCGCCATTGCTCAACCTCATGGGCCGTCCCTCTCTACTTTATAAGGGGGCTTTGGCTTGGGACATGGACCAAGAGAAGGCCGCTGCCCATCAGAAGCGCGATGCTCTCTTTGATGCCAAGCTCCGTCTCGAGTGTCATCGGCCAGAACCATTTTACAAGTTTGCGGTCAAAACCTATGATGACGGAGTAATTACAAGGTGCGTGGCTGGCATCTGCGACATAGCAAACATTGCCAGGCGACGTTCAATTCCAGGGGTCCGTTATTCCTCCTCGCTCCTTTCGATATAACCAAGCCTGATTTTCAATTTTTCATTTGCGGTGAGCCAGGCCATCCTACGTCGCTTCGCCAGATCCCCAGAACTAACCCCGAAGTCCACCTGTATGGGATTCGGTCAGATCGTGGCTCTTCTCCTGCTCGTGCAGCCACTGATGGCAGTGGGAAAGGTACGCACAGGTAAGTCCCTGGCGATCATGGAACCAAGGTACTTTTGCAGGTCGTGTACTGACTAAAGTTCTCAAATGAAAGGAAACCAGGCTGAAGAAGTACCCGTTGATATTGAGGTTTCATATCATCAATGCCAGATGAGCGGTGACGATGTCGAATCAAGCTCGTCACCTGCACAACCTTGCAGCTATGTCACACACTTCGACGAGATTAAACGATGCGTCTATACAACTATAAATGATCCAAACCTGCTTCCAGAAGATCGACAGGAACACATTTATAGATTGTTCTTGGAGTCGAAAGAAACTGAAAACCGGTTCGGGTTCGGGTCCTCTATCAACTTCTTCGTGGTAGACATGATGCTATCGATTCAGCTCGGTCCGCTCCTAGTTCCATTTGGACTTGTTGATGGGAATTCTCCTCTTCTGCCATGTCTTTTTGGCATCTGGAACACATTGAAACTGAGAAGATTTTGTGCAGCCTATCATCTTGCGGAAGTTAGACTCAGTCCGCATCACTCCACGTCCCAGCGAATTTAGCTCGAGACGAAAAGCATTCTCCGGTTGGCTGACTCTGACTGTACATATACAAGGCCAGAAGTTCTTATTACCCACGAATTACCCTACCTGGTATGGTCCGGGCTTAAGTTGCTTTACAGCAGAATCGCCAACACCCGGCATGCGCTTCTCCAATGCCTCAAGGTAGATTCAATGCTCTTTTCGGCTTTTTTGTCATGGTACAATGAACTAATGGTCTTCTTGCACAGGGACATCCGGGTAATGAAACCAGTAGTCAGACTGCAGTTTCCAGGGAGAGATTGTGAATAGGACTATCGAACCTGCTTTGATATGTCAATCCCAGGTGTCTCGGACGAATTCCACTTCTTAGATCTTTTCTACTTATGTCCTTTACTGGACCTGTCACACATATAACATCTTCTATGGTAGAGAGCGATCGTAATACAGATGGATCCCTAGCTCCTTGCAAGTACTCACGAAGGGAACATTAGAAGCATTTGGTACAGACTTTCCAGACTTGACAAACTATGACCGCAATTTCTCTTCTCTGGGAAGCACTTCGAATATAGGTACTCACTGGAGTCAATCATCTATCGATGCCAAACTCGCATCACACCGACCAGAACAATGGTTTCTCCATCCAGTATATTAATACTAATGTGGTAAGTAGGTATTACCTACCTGAGTAACTTGTGCGGCACGGCTACCCTCGGTGATCTTTCCAGCTTAATTGACATGGTCTAAACACATAATCATTCCATGGAGAGATTTCGAAGGAATGCTGCCCAGTCAACGGTATCAGACTTGAGTTTCTACGCCGTTCTCACGGCCTCTGCTTCCTCGATGTCTCACCCCGGGCAAGGATCGCCAAAGCCCGTTTCGTCTTGTATTGGCGGCTGATGTGCTGCCCACTGTGAGGTTTCCTGTCTCTTTCCTTTGACTGTGAGAGACGTCTTTTGGAGTTGTTTCCCAGGAGTGAGGTAATTTGCTCGCGACATTTTTGATGTGCCGCCCGTAATACATGTAGCCTCCCGCCAACCCGAGGACGAGACAAGGCACAAGCACTAAGGAGGCGGTGTTAGTATGCCGAGGGGAGAGGTGCAATGATAGACACATACGGGTAACGAGTAGAGACCACAATGGTGCTTGAAGAAAAGATGACACGTCCAGGGCGAACAAAGAGGTGAGAAATGAAGCAGGCAACTGCAATGACTTAGTTATTTCCTTGAACAGGGAGAGATTGAGTACTGAGAAGACTTACAAACCAAGCAGTAATCACCGTAAACATCATCACCCTTTTCCCCTGGTCTAGAGAAATCTCACTCTCGTGAAGTGTGATGGTGGTATGCAACTGAAATCAATCATCAGTACTTTGCTCATCTCAATTGGTGTTGGGATGATGAACTCACAGCATCTCTAATCCTCCCAGCAAGCTTGTCCATTTCATCAATGTCATTTCTGACATATGCAGCTGTTAGGTCTGCATCCAACATAGTGCTGATCGCGTCAGGCTCTCTGCCATCCATGCGCGACTGAACCTTCCGTTGAAATTCGGCAACGGTTCTGAGTATGTTCAACTCGTGACGGACATCTTTGATCTCGAACAAAAGCTGGGCTGCCTTCTTGACTGCTTCCTCGGTTGTCAATGGGTTGCCGTGACTACTGCTAGTCCCTTCCTCTTGCCTCAAAGTCCTTGTATAGCCGGAAAACTGGCCATATAAGTCGGCTTCTTGTCTTCCCTATAAAGTTGATTAGCTGATTTGCTTTTTGTCGAGTGTATTAGGCTAGACATCACAAACAATTCGGTTGATGAAATTAGAAAAAGTTTGGCGGATCGATATCTCGCTGGTTTCGGCTTCATGCCTCGTGGTCGATCCGCTTATGTCGGTAGACACATTGTCCTTCGTGACATGCCTCGCGAGATTTTGTTGATTTCCATTCTTCTTGTCAGACTTCGATTTCTGGACCTCTTGTTGTCTGTCATAAGTCCCAACGCAGTACTCGGCAATGGATTTGCTCAGCTCTGCAGCAGAATTCGGGCCACGTTCACGACTACCATCTTCAACTTGAGTGCGCAGGTGGTCGACGATAGAGTTGATAAACGTAATTGTTCTCTCGTTGTCGATTTCGGCACAGGAAGCGGATGTGATCAACCATTCTATACTGTTATTAGTTATATGCACTACCTTAGCGATAAAAAGTTGATCTCTTGTAGGTTACTTGCCGTCTTCAATCGTCCAGGCCCATAACTGGCTGATCCTGATGAGCCCCAATGGCTCACCCGTCTTATTTTCTTGCTGATACTTGGTGAAGACTTGATTCTTGTTCCTGTGGCCTCGGTCTCTTTGAGACTCCTCATCTGCAGCAAAGCGGTAGTAGTGCTCGTCCAGTGTAGGTGCATCATGAATGACGGAGCCCCGGCTTTGGTAATAGCCATTTAGAATGTCTTGGAAGTCTCTCCTATTGTTGTTTGTTTCATGTCGCTTATAGTCGGTCAAGATAAACGGCATCTGCTTTCATCATCAGATGTCTACAAAAGTATTCGATGTTGTTATTGACTGGTCTTACGTAAAAAGCGGAAGCCAGTCCACCATTCTTGCCAGTGCCCGGGGAATAAGTGTCATTGTCTGCAATATTGAGGCCACATCAGATGGATGCAATATCCAAAGAGGAAAGGCACTTGGACTAACTTTTGCCTGTTTTATCCTTATGATTCAGAATGACGTATTGAGGCCGCATGAATCGTGATGGGGATGTTTTGTCTGGGATCTGAGACCAGCTTGCACGCAAAAAAGCAGCAACCTCGTTCCAGTGTTCGAGTCGGGATGGATGCGAAATATAAATTTTCTTCACAGTATCCTATTCATTAATACTGTTAGTTTTGAAATGTAGGATGAAGTGTAGAACGTATGAGAGAAAGTTTATTCGGTGATCTCACCATCATCCATTCCATCTTTCACTTGATTAGCTTCATTCATCCCGAGGAAAATTCAGATAATTTGTCAGGCTTACATTGGCTGCTGGAAGATGGACCCACGTGATGCCTTTCTCGCACTTGGGTGCTTCGAGCCAATTTCCAAGTCGATATCCCGGACACTCGGGTTCTTGGAGCCCATTTCTTAGTCGACTTTTGGAACTGTTCTATTGCGTCTCTGATTGTCGTGAAACTTTCCTTCTCATCATAAATGGTATTGTAGATCCCCCTGAATCTGGTACCCATGCTGAACTCATTTTTGTTCTGTCGAACTTCAACAATGCTCGCCTGGAACCCGTTCAAGCAATCTTTGATTCCGCCGTTGATCGGTTTGGTGATTCGGAGGGGCTCCTTGGCTCTAATAGTTGTCTCTAGGCCGATGAAGTCAAGGATATCCCTCATCGCATCAAGGACTCGATCCTGAGTTTCTGTACGGCCTTGCTCATTCCTGGTCGTTTGATTGTCTTGTTTTACCTCCTTGGCACTGTCCCTTGCGAAAGGCTGTGGCTCCTTTGTTTTGCTCGACGTTTTTAGATGACTAATAATCTCCTGGCCGCGAGATTTCTCGCCGGCTGTCAAAGGCGGGCATTGTAGAAGTACTGAAGGCAATCTATGATATATCGCCCAGTGAGCCAACGTCCAGCCTTTCTGTTCGATATATGCAGTCTGATCTTGAGCAGTCAGTTCTTTCAAAATGGTAACGGCTACATTGTGCCGCTCTTTTCGACATGCAAGCCAGCAAAGAATCTCATCCATAAGAGTAGCGTCTTCTTGTGATCAGTCAAAATCGTTAAATATGCTAGGAGGGACTGCCGCTTTACCTTTCTGGAACCTCTGGAAAAGCAATCTATTCGGTACCCAACCAACGACCCTTAACGCGAATTCGCCCATGATTTTGCTCTCAGAGTGCTTTGTCGAAAATATCGCAATATCTAGAAGGCCTTCGTAAACCGGGGTCGTATTGAAGTCCAAATGAGGGAATTTGTCAAGAATATTGTCAAGAAGCTTGGCAAAAGAGGCTTCCCATGCCTCGTTTTCGGACCTCCTCAACTTGCAGAATTCCACGAAAATAGACCTTCCTACGTTGTTCCGAGTAATGACATCTTTCGCGGCGAGTTCCCTCCCAGGTTCGAATAGATGGTTAACCAGAATGTCAAAGATCTCGGAAGTATTTTCCTTGAGCGCCGTCATCAAGGGCGACCTTCCATCCCGATCCACGATACCAAGATTTGGCCCTTTTTCAAGTAGAAAAGCAACGCCTTTCTTATTTTCTCGAGAGACAGTATAGTTGAGTGGTGTTTGGAGTAAAGGTAACGATTGTTCGTTCAGGAAATGTCGTTGAAACTCAAACAGACGTCGCATTATACTTTCTTCTTGATTATAAAAGCCCCAGAGATGGAGAAAGCACCGGCCGCTAGAGGTAGGGTGCTCTGTTTGGCCCACGCGTTCCAAGAGTACTTTCAAGTACGCGCTATCACCATATTCAAGTGCGTGGTAAAATGAATGTGTATTTTCTCCATCCAAGGCATTGACATCGGCACCAGCTTTTATCAGCAAGTTGAAGGTCTGGAAAACGTCTTTCCCAATCGCAATCTGCAAAGGGGTCTTGTGAGGGGGCTCCAATGATCGAGTATCAATGTCTTCCGGTGACGCTTCAAGAATGGCGGACAACTCTGCGAGCTTGGCTTCGGTCTCGGATTCAGAGTCGAGTTCGCCAAGAAAGAGGTGTAATGATGTTTCTGCCTGAGGAGTCATCGTGTGGTCGACCTCCTTCCCAGGAAGACTTTGTGCACTTTCGTTCTTGGACCATTGAGGTGACTCCGATGCGTGCGTGTCGTCCATTGTCTGGCTGTCGTTGTCAATTGGCCGGCTTGGCGTATCGCTGGCCGCCGCACCTGTTGCCATACCATCAAACGTGTCTGCATCCATGAATGAGATGAAAGGCAAGTAGAATGGCCGCAAGATGTGGGAAACTCCTCGCAACGGAGCCTCTGAAAGTATCCAAAAGATCGGGATTTGGCAAGGAGTGAAGTCTGGGCAAAATGTTTCAAATCTCCAGGCTCCTTAACTTGACAAGATTCGGGCATCAATGCACTTCAGCAAGCCCTAATGCAAGCTGCATCGTAGATGGTTAGAGCGAAGGGGGTCTCTAAGTACGTAATTCTGAAAGAGTAAAAGATGTCCGCCGCCTTGCTGAATTACGACTCTCCTATCCCCTGCGATCTGACCGTCTCTCGATTGGTTGCCTCACTTTTTTTTTAAGGGCAGATATCCTGCAGGTTTCCTGCCCACCGGGCCAACGCTCAAATATTAATGGAAGCACTCACTGGCACTGCAGAGAGCTGAAAACGAATCCAGACCAGGTTCTTATCTGACCCAAGAACAACATTATTGGCCCACATACTGTCAGTGGATGTGCAGCTGTGGCTTATGAACCGCTGCAGCTCTGAAAGAGAGAAAGCCTGCCACACTACATAGCGTTCGAAAATGATAAGATCAACACCATGCAGCCAAGGTAACTAGTACTTCTCTCTGTTGGTGGAGCATCATAAATCTCCTACATCCTTTTGGTTGATTCCCTGGGAGAATACCCTTCAAGCGCTACTAGACATAACTGGAAAGAACGAAAATGACAAGGAAAGCAACATGAAGGATAGCAAAAATGAGGATATCGATGAGGAGACCGATATACCGAAACTTTAGTCTGCGTCAAATAACTAACAAATCACATACGTCCAAGGGGCCACTATTCGCGACCACGACCTCTTTCATAAATCAGATCAACACCCCACCTCAAGGCTTATAACACGAACGGACTACGATGATTTGCGACCTGTCACCAACTTTAGAGCTTCTCATATAGTTGCATGTCAAGGTGGTTCCGCTAGAAAGTCCTGCTCTGAGTAAGCTAATGGGCTTGAGGTGTCGCGGTTGCTTCGTGAGCAAGCGAGACTGCTTGTCAAGATCCCCGGCCTGAGGAAAGTACGACATTTGGCAACTAACCAGGTCTGGCACCGTCAAGGTTCGGTCTCCACCTCTGGTAGGCATACATGCCTCAAAGCCTCACCCCCCCCCCCCCCCCCAAAAGACAGACATCCCACATCTCCGCTTCAAGAACCTAACACGACATCACCATAATGGAATCTACTACGCACACCATCGACCCTCGAGCGTCTCACACCCACACAATCATATTCCTCCACGGTAGAGACAGCACCTGCGCTGACTTCGCAACCGAGCTCTTCGAAAGCGAAGCATCAGAACCAGCAAACCAACCACGCACGCTTCCAGACCTATTCCCATCTATCCGCTGGGTCTTCCCCGGAGCCACGCTCCTTCCATCCAGGAGGTTTGGCACCGAAATGTCACAGTGGTTCGACGTTTGGTCACTAGAAAACCCAGAAGAAGAAGCCGGTATCCAACAACCCGGCCTCAGACGAAGCATCGAACACCTCGTCGCCCTCGTCGAGAGCGAATCTGCCCTGGTTCCGATGGATAAGATATTCCTAGGCGGTATCAGCCAGGGATTCGCAACCTCCATAGCCGCTTTTCTGACCACGTCAAGGCTAGGCGGATTAGGTGGGCTGATTGGTTTGTGCAGCTGGATGCCGCCGGCTGAGGTCATTGATGAATTGGCGGAGGAGGGTTCACTTTATCGCAGAGCGAGCGGGACAGATTCAACGGCTAAGACTCCTATTTTCCTCGCTCACGCTGTGGACGATGAAGACGTTGACATCAACCTTGGTCGGCAGCTGCGGACAACGCTTGATTCGTTCGTGAATTCATGTACAGTGGAATGGCATGAGTATCAATCTGGAGGTCACTGGGTTAACGAGCCGCAAGGTGTTGATGACATGGTCAGCTTCCTGAGACTCCATATGCATTGGACCGGGCTTCATAACACACACCACCATCACCAGTCTGAGATTTTATACTGAGTGCGAGCTACTGGGCTGTTGCTTGTCAGACATCGTGGCGTGTATGAACAAGTCTCGATTCTCAGATGGATGTTACCTGTCAACGCAATGCTCCCCGCGTTCACAGCCTAAGAGCGTGTTCGAGTACACGTATTATTACATGTATATTCCATCATCATGCCTGAGCACGAGATGTGATGCCTATCCTAGACGCCATGCCATGCCATGCGCTCTACGCAGTGTTCTCTGTCCGTCTTAGGTCCGGCGAGCTTCTATCCCAAAGACCGGAGCCATCCAAGACGACGCCGTATACCCCTAAGCGGAAAGGTATAATGCTATGCTCAAATCAACCACCGACCCCTTTCCACAAGGTCGGTCATCTCCCACCCAGAATGGATCTCAAGACATCAAGACTCAAAAGTCGAGACTCAAAACTTAAAACTCAAGACTCAACCTCCATCTCCAAATCCGGATCCACCTCCGTCCCCAAATCCCTCTCCTCCAAAAACCGCCTCCCAACAAGCTCATCAGGCAAATACTCCTGCCTCACTCTGCCCTCCCGATAATTCGGCGGGTACTTATACTCCGCCCCATACCCCATCTCCCTCATTAACCTTGTCGGCGCGTTCCTCAGGTGCAGCGGCACAGGCAACGCCGCCACGCCAGGCTCCTTGAGCGCCGCGTAGGCATTATTCAGACCCCTATATGCCCTCGTGCTCTTCGGCGCGAGACTCAGCGCCACGGCGCAGTGCGCGAGAGGGATCCTAGCCTCGGGCATACCGATCTGCTGCGCGGCGGTATACGCCGCCGTCGCGAGCGGGAGTAGAGTGTTATCTGCCAGGCCGACGTCTTCAGAGGCGATGACTACCATGCGTCGTGCTACGAACAGGGGGTCTTCGCCAGACTGGAGCATGCGTGCGAGGTAATACAGCGCCGCGTCGGCGTCTGATCCGCGAACGGCTTTGTGGAAGGCGGAGATGGTATCGTAGTGCTGGTCGCCTGCGCGATCATATACAAGGGTCTTGGTCAGGGAGGCCTTGATACTCTCCTTCGTCGTACCCGCGCGCGTAGAGAGGGAAAGCGCGAGCTCAAGAAGGTTCAGCGCTGTGCGGGCGTCACCGTCCGAGAAGGCGGCCAGGTACGTCACCAGCTCCGCATCGACGAGCGGGCTACCGGGGAAGTTATTCGTTCGCGCCTCTTCGTCAATGGCGCGGAGCAGGATTCTCGCCACGTCTTCGCTCGAGAGCTTAGACAATGTAAACGTCCTACACCGCGAGAGCAGCGCGCCCTGAACTCTAAAAGAAGGGTTCTCCGTCGTGGCGCCAATGAGTGTAATCGTACCCGCCTCAACGGGCTTCAAAAAGACGTCCTGCTGCGACTTGGAGAAGCGATGTATCTCGTCGCAGAAAATAATAGTCTTGCGACCCGTAAGAGCACCCTCGTTGGCCGCCTCCGCAAAGAGCTTCTTGCACTCGGCAACGCCGGATGATGTAGCATTCATCTCGATGAAACGTGAGCCGACGCTGTGCGCTATACACCTCGCGATCGTCGTCTTGCCCGTTCCCGAGCCTCCCCAAAGAATCATGGAGGGGACCCGGTCCGACTCGATGAGGCTGCGCAGCACGCCGTGCGGACCGACGAGGTCCTGGCCGCAGACTTCGTCTAGGGTCCTGGGACGCATTCGCTCTGCGAGGGGCGCCGCGCGAGCTGTCTTTGTGCGCTTCGCCGAGGGCCCGGTTTCTGGTGGTTGTGTTTGTTGGGTTGCTTCGCTGTCTGTGTCGGTGGCCGTCGCCATGGGAGAGGGCAACTCGCCTGGCCCGTCGTCGAATCTTCGTTTCATTCCTGCCATGGGCCGGGTAGTCGTCGCTGCCGCTGTCGTTGTCGTGCCGTTGGACGGAGTCGTGAGGACTTTGGCGGGAGGGGCATGGCGCTTCGGTGCGGGGGTCGAGAAGAAGGAGGAGGCGGGCCGTTTGGCTTGTGATGAGGTGAGTGTAGAGCCGGGAGTGCCATTAGACTGTGTCGCTGTCGGCGGGGAGGAGGTTCGTTCAGGGTTGAAGATGTGGTTTTGGCAGCCCGAGTCGATGTGGGAGTTGATCAGCGTCTCCTTGACGGGTTTGTTGCAGATGGGGCAGTCGACTGCTGCCATTTTGAATGGAAGACACAGTGCTGTGACGCATGCAATGGGTAGGCTTTGGCTCAAGCTTGGCTATTGTTGGAGTGTGTTGGCGTCCGGATTCGTCAATTCGTGTGCAGTCGACGATGTTGGTGCAACTATCGCGAATTCGTGTGAATTTGGGGGTTGAACTGTGACTGGAGGAGACGCGCCTTTGGGGGAATTTTTGAGTGCAATGACGCGCCTGGCAATTGAGCTCAAAATTCTAGTGGGGCACGGGACGCCTCGCTCCGCAGTTCAGGTACCTCCAGGAGCCTGGAGGTCCCTTCACTCCACTGCCGTCTGGAGGCGACTGCCACTGCCGGGGGTGTCGATTCACAGGGCAGTCGTCGGGTAAGAAGCCGCACTCTCTCTCGACGGTGGGGCTGCCCGGCACTCGGATTCGGTCGTAGATACACTGTGGCCTCCGCCCGCCCGCCATGCTCGGCATACGGATACAAAGTCCGTATGATCTCATTCAGGATAACAAAGTAGTTGATTCACTCTTCAAGTTCAATTGAAAGTGAAACTAATAATCTCAGTGATTCGCGCCCGGATGATGAGCCGGGTCTTCTCGTAGGTATCATTACATCTGTATGAAACGCCTCCCAATGCCTTTATCCTCAACCCGAAATATCAAAAGTGCTCGGAACGAAGCCGTGATGTACAAAGACGCCGTAGCATGACTTGATGCCGGTGTCGGTGCCGTCAGCAATCTCCCCTTCTCTATGATGGAGACGACGGCCATGTATGAAGTGTATATCGAAGCCATTGACCCGCTTACGAAAGCAGCGCATGCTCATGCTGTCTCTTCTCTCGCTGGCGACTCATTCAGTCTGCTGTATTACAAACTCCTCTCAAACCATGAAAGACTCTCCGCAGCCACACTGCTCCTCTATTCAAGTGGTTAGCATACTATTTTCCCAAGACGGTAAGAAGCGACGTAGACTCACTGATATTCGGGTTCTTGAACACAAATCGCTGGCTCAGCTTGTCCTCAACCCAATCCATCTCGCTGCCAATAATGCTGAACAGCGCCTTGCTGTCAATCAGCACCTTGACGCCGTCCTGCACAACCTCCTCGTCAAAGCTCCCCGGCTTCTCGACGTACTCGAGGTGGTACGCCAGGCCCGAGCACCCCCTGTTCCGCACGCCGACCTTGATAAGCTTCGGCTCCGGCTGGTCCAGCATCGCGCGCAGCTGCTCTACCGCCGCGGGGCTGAGCTTCATCGCCGCCTTGCGGGCGCGGAGCGTGCGCTTCGGACGGGCGGCTGGCTTGGGGGTTTGAGCTGCTTGTTCGGAGACCTTTGGCGCGGGGGCCGCGGCGGCAGCGGTTGCTGCTGATGACGTCGTCGTGGCCTTGGCTGTTGCGGATGAGGTCGCTGCTGTTGTTGTCTTTGTCGTCGAGGACTGTGTGGTGGAGGAAGAGGAAAGAGTGCTCGGTGTCGAGGATTGTTGGTGGGCTGTCGCCATTTGCGAGGGGATCTTGGGAGGTCTCGTCTCGTTGACCTTCGGCAGAGCATCCGGCGATGCGATGGAGCTCTCGGGGATGCCGTCGCCTCTCGCCGGAGGGAGTGTGTTGTTTGAGTAGAGAGGGTATGACTGGAAAGACGGGCTGCCGTAGGCGCGACGAGCAGAGGCGCACTGCAATGCCGTGCAGGAGCGGCGGAACGCCACTCTGCTGAGTATCCTCGGTGCATTCATCTTTGTACTAGAGGCTGTGTGTCTTTGTGACGAAGTCGAGTTTGCTAGAAGGAATGACACCAAGGTGAGATTGCTTTCCCGTTTTGTTCTGTGGCGTTTGTCGTCGAAGGATCAGGTGTTGAGGTTGAGAGGGTTGGAAATCATTCGACGGTGACGAAAGAAACAGGCGGGAATTGTAGGTCGGAGGTTTTTGCGGTCGGGATGGATTGGCAATGGGAATGTGGCTGGCACTCGGAGCAAAGCAACAGAAGCTGGGGCCAAGGGGGGGTCATTTGACAGGTTCTCGCCGTGGCGCGGCTATGACATGGTGAGCGGTCTCCAGTATACCGGGTGCACTTCAGCCAATCAGAAGCCTGTAATTTGTCAACGGCCGTGACAGATGACAAAGCAGCCTCTTTTCCTTCAGTGCCTTTTGGGCCTTGGCTCTTGCTTTGTTTCTCATGACCAACTCATACCTTGAGGGCCTCAAAGGCATTATTCATTCTTAACTTATCCAAACTACCTTAGTCAGGTACTTTGTCTGTCCAGTGTTACACTACGTTGCCGAGTTTCCTGGACTCTCGGGGAATCGATGTGGTTCGAGATTAGGTTTGCCCGGACTGACAAGGAAGAGCTCTACATCCAATCCCCAGCAGCCTGTGGAACCACACTTTGTGTGTCGAATGACAACCTTGAAGGTCAGGAAGCTCGAGGTTGACATCAGCTCTTAAGTCTGGAGCCGCAGTGAATGAGCCTCAATTGAGCATGCCAAACATAGATCAACCAGACTCCAACACAATGCTTCATGAGAATCATCTCGGGTGTCATTAATATCATACAGTCTATCACCCATCCCACCTTGCCTCACAGCTCACAGCTCACAGCTCACCATCTCTCACCGCTCCACCAACCCTCTCACATCAGCAACAGCCGCCCTCGCCATCTTCTTCAACAACGTCCTCTCATCTGCCTCCCGGTACCGATCCCACGTATCAAGCCCCTCTTTCGCCTGTATACTCAGCGTCTCGTACCCTTGCTTGATCACCTCCGTCACCTGCATGCTTGTCAGGTTCCCCTTCTTCTTGCCGCCCTCAGCCAGCAGCTCCTTGTAGTGCGTGCTCACGCTAATGAGCGTGTCTATCGAGTTGCTCGGCCGCTTGCCGAGTTGATAGCTCTCCTTGAACTTGGTCAGCGTGTCGCCAGCCTCGACGACCTTGTAGAATAGATCGTCGTATGCCGCTGGCGACGGCAGGAATCCTTCGCCAGCCGACAGCGAGAGCGCCACGAGGTTGACGACGTTGTCTAGCAGGAGGTCGATTTGCGAAAGGTCCTTCAGGTCCGCGACGTATTGTGTAAGGAACCGAATGAGGTTCAGCAACGCGCGGAAGAGATCCGCCCAGTGATATGTCAGTCGTGTCCGTGACCTCGAGAGATAGGAAATCACCCGCAACAGGATTCCGACGCAGAGTGTGTAGAGTCCGACGTCCAGCCTCCTCCGCAGGTTGTGTGTAATGCCGTCCACCATGGTATCCAGCACGGCCGTCGCCAGAATCCGGTCTCCTCTGACCAGCGGGAGGAACGGTTGCCTCTGGCGACACAGACGGACTTGTCCCTTGGACTCTTCGCTGCATATCCGCTTGCATAGTACGGGATCCTCAATTAGTAGGCGGAAGACCATGAGGTTGAGATGCGAGTAGTGCGTCGTGCGTTCGGAGAGATGGGCGTGCTGGAGTAGGTAGGAGGTGAGTGATGTGAAGGCCGCCAATGGCTGTTCTTCGCCCTTTTCGGCAGGCAGGGTGGCGAGGTTGAAGCAGAACAGCTTGTTGGCGTGTGTAAAGTCATAGGTTGCTAGCAACACGGCTGCTTCCTCGCCAGGTCTGCTTCTTGTCAGTTGCCACATTTCTTCACTCCAAGGTCAGCCAGAGGATACTCACAGCTTCGTAAACATCTGCTTCATGGTCTCGGCATCGTAGACGGGCTTCTTTTCCGGCTTGGGGCCCCTCGCAACCGCGCCGAGGCCAATCATACGCAGCGTGCCGTTGAACGTCCACCCCTCGGGCAAGTCGTCCTGCACATCCACGAATTGTGTAGTCAAGCTCTCGCACGTCTGGCCGATACACCGAATGATCTTCTTGATTGTCGCCTCGTTGACAAAGTCGTTTAGTCGCATCTGGTAGGGGTTCTGGAACTCAAATTTGTTGTAGTTCGCCAAGAGGCCGAGGAGGGAAAAGGGGCTGAGGATGCGCTCCGTTGTGTCGGTGTCTTGTATAAACTGCGGGATCGTTAGTTGAGGCTCACACAAGTTGCAAGGGTAGAATGATCTGACCTTCATTACTGAGGGGAAGAGGTCCCTCTGGATGAAGTATGTCAAGAGACTTGTCTGGTATGCGCCCGCCGTCACAGCCAGGACAACCTCGACAGCCTTTTGTCGCAATTCCACTGCAACGCGTTAGTCCGTCTCGTACTTGACCGTAGTGGCTTTCCCGTATGCCAAACTCACAGCTCTTCCCACTCCTAATGATCTGGTCCACAGCGCCCACAAAGTCCGTAAAGATCGTATCGACATAATCGATCCCAGCCAAGACGATAATAATATCCGAGCTAGGGTGCGCATACTTTTTCGAAAGAGCCGAGCAGAGGAACACGCTTAGAGTCTACCATCCTCCCAGTCCAAGTCAGCAACTTTCAAACCTCGCTTCAGCGCGAAAGCCAAGGGACGAGCTTGTGCCCTACTCACGTCAAGCGCATGCAGATCTGCGACACCCTGTCCACTCTTCATAGCAGTGACAGCGCGCGCGAAAAGCTCCCCTGTATGCTCCTCCAACGCAAGCATGTCTGCCGGCCCGAGGCCATCGAGAATTCGCTTCAGGGCGGGGCGGTCGGGCCGCAGGAGGAAGAACTCGCGCCAGAAGCCCTCGGAACGTTCTGCGTCATCTTCGGCGTCCTACTCAATCATGGAGTTCGTATCAGCGGGTTGCCAATGTACAGGATCCTGCTTCTTTGCGTAGCAGTAATGTCTAGGAAGATACGGCCATGCGGTCCGCAAGTTGAAGATCGTCAAGGGGGAATGCTCGGCCAGGCGCAATGGGGGAAGCTCGGGGTTCGTGGGTATAAGGATCGAGGAGAGAACACACCTAGAGAGAGAAGGTTAGCTACAAGTCCTACATGAAATCGGCGACAGAGTACCTTGGACACACAGAGACATGGTCGAGGGGTCACAAAGGCAGGGAGAAGCGGAGCTGTCGAACCTTGAACAACGACTCGTACAGCTGTACGATCTTGGGCTTGAAGACCTCGGGCGGGGCCTGACGGGTCAGCGGTGACGCTTCCATTCCCGAGGTATGGCGATCTGTGGCGATAAAAAAGAAGAACTGGCTACCGCTTATGTCGGAGGCAGCGGGAGGAGGGCAGATAATCTGTAAATGTTTGGTTTGGGGGCTGACGACGTCGGTCCGGCAGCACGCGAGCTAACCGTTGCGATACGCGTTCCGACAAAAAAAAGATGGAGAGGTCCCCCCCATTGCAGCTCAGGGATTCTGTACCGTTTGTAGCTCGTATTGGTACGGCTTTGAGCGGCTAAATGCCTAGAGGAGATACAGTGCTTCTAGAAATGACGACTGTACTTGCACACGCGCATTCTCCCCCTGAACTCGGGCTGCCTCCAAAAAAAGATCGGGACACTTGTCCAGCGCCAGAAACATCCATGGCATGTTTCATGCACGGGCGCATCATAATCCAGTCTTGCTCCGTAGGGCTGATATTGATCTTTTAACTACAGGGCCGCCGATCCAACCATTTTCCCAAGCCGCAAGGTCGATGCCTCTGTCCTCGTGACATCGACTTTTATTACTACTCTTTACCTCAAGAAGCTGTCGATTTACGAGCCAAGTCACAGCCAGCGACACTCTCCCCCTCCTGGCGCTTGTACAGAGACTTTCGAAACACACGAAGATGACGGTTCTGGCGGAGCATTGTCAGGCATCGACTGTCGAGTCAGCGAAACAAGAACCTTGATTTACGCGAATCTTGGTTGGTTCTGGCCTCGAACTCCATTTCTCTTGCCATGAAATTTGATAACTCAGAACCTCTATGACCCTGAGGCGGGTCGCCTGTTTGTTTTTCAGTGTTTTTTCTGTGTTCTTCCTTTGCAATTGTAGCGTCTCTTTTGGGCCACCCAGCAGCAGGTCGTAGCCAACGTTCTATGTTCAATTCTTTGTTTGCTTTCCCCTTCTTCTTCAACTCAGCCCACATGGAGCTAGGGCTGAACAGAGAAGTACCCAGTCCCGTGTGATTTTCCGAAGTCTGGCTTTCGAGCGGAAGCTCTTGATGCTCGTTTGAGGTCTGCTGGTTCTGCGAAGGCGTGGCGCCTGTATCCGTGGCTTGGTCGAACTTCGGTCGCTTGGCAGGTACCCATATGACCAAGTTGAACTCCATCGGCGCTGGGATTTCATCGACCTCGATAAACGAAGAAGCATGCTCAGTGAAAGCTTCAATCGCTTCGAGCGCAGCTTGACCTAAGATGACATCATGAACACAACTCTCAAGAATGTGAAATAGGATACTGCTCTCGTTCGCCCAAGTTGCTGATGCCGAGCCCAAAGAGTGGCTCTCGTACGCCCAGGTTGCTGATATGGAGCCCATAGTCTGTTCAAACTTGCCGTCAGGGAAACGCAAAAGACGCTGGTCACTCCAATCAATATCTGCATGCCAATCTCTACGACAGCGCGCAAAGTTGAGCGAAACGAGACTTGACTCTGATCCTGAGTCCGCAAGTGCCTGAACCTCGATACCATTGATTGTCCCTCGCAGCCGCTCTTTTATAGATCCAATACTGCTTGTGAAGAGAACCGATGTAGCCCACTGAGGTCGAGGAATTATGCTAAGACGAGCCCGGTGTTGGTTCATTGTGCCTGACGATTTGAGGAATTCGCTTCCTAGGACGAGGTCTAGAGCAAAACCATCGATGACCTGAAATGTGAGATGCCAGGTACGCTCTGGGCCTTCCACAAATGCCCACGAGGCATTGATAGCTCCCGCACTCATGATGGTCTTGCCGTTGGCCATGCAGAGGCCGGTATTTTGCTCTGGCGAGTCGCACGGCGGTTCGAAACCGAGTCGCTTGGCGAGCGAGGAAGACACCAAGTTACAGCCAGCGCCAGTATCGGGAAGTGCGTTGACATGGTACCCGTCCACTAATCCTCGTGCTGTAATGATGCCTTCGTTGGGGTTGGTCGCTGAAGAAGGGGATGAGATTTGTATGAGCAATGTTGTCTGACGCAATGTGAAGAGCGGATTGCGATTCATCCTTACCTTTTTGCCTCCCCGGCCTACTCAAGCTGCAAAATCTGCATTGCGAACGTGGAATTGTGTGGTTATGTAGAGGATTCCAATGGGAGCGGGATTCGATATTGTCTCGGAGAGCACGTTCATTCAGCCGCATTTTCAACAATCCCAACTCGTCTCCCTGCGACATTGTCTCGATTGGAATACCTGTAGCAATCCACCCTCCCAGGCCCTCAAGGTTGAAATCACATGAGACCATCTTGCAAGTTTCTGAAGGTAGGTGCTCGTAGAGAGGGTCGCCTTAGGCAGTGTGTGTGATGTCGAAGGTTGGGAAGAAAGTAAGAAGCTCGCTACTGAAGGAAAGAGGAGATCAGGCAATGGTGTTTTTGAGGATGTCTTTCGAATCATGGCTGCGCCACTGACAAGTCCTGTCCGGAGTGGATGTGGTTGGCCAGTTCATTGCCCAGGCATATTGACGCTTTGAATTTGGGTATCCAACCACGAACTCCCCTCGCCAGACAGCTAGGTGGCATTGTTGCACAAGTCCACAGTCCGCTTTGATTTGCATAGTGATGACTGAAGTAAGACAATCCTCGGCGCGCGCATGACAAAGATGCTTGAACTAAGTACGTTCTAGCCAACATACGTTTTCGACTTCCCCTTCTGGCATCTTCTGGCCTCTTGAACGTTCTCGATATATTCCCTTAGGTTCTTCAAAAGTATGGCTGCCACCAGTGCAAGTAACGCTGGTTGTTCGACTGAGCAGGAGATAACCCCCACCTCACACATGACTATCGTACCGCCCGATGTCTTAAGCCATGCAGCTTTCTCGGAATTCATTGCATCTGATCCTGAGCTATCCGTATTCAGAAGCTTCCAAGCTTTGAGCGCTCGTAACCTTCTTCACCTACAGTCAAGAATGCTTGAGATCGAGGCCGAACTACAAAAGTCTGACGAGGATGACGCTACAAGCGTCGACGATGCTAGCCGTCTCGCTACCAAATGCTGGGAAGTATTTGCATTAAGAGCTCAAGAAAAGGATTCAAGAGAGGCCAAGAAGATGGATCTTGTGAATCGACTACAAGAAACCATAAAAGAATACCGTACGTGCCTCGAAGGTTGACCACAAGTGCAATCGTTGTGACGGGAAACAGATGAAGCTTTGGTTCTGCGAAGCCAAATCATGAAGTTTACAGCCCCCAACGATCGAGTCTTTCGTGTCTTCCAAGGCTGGTTCGACTCCGAACAACCCTTCCTCGGCCACGGCCACGATCTACCAGGCAAGCGAGATGACTTCATCGGCCTCGCCGCATCATCAGGCGCAGATTTCCTCACCCGAAATCTCGAAGATCTCGCAGGGAAATACCTAGCGGTACGTCAGTCCTTCTCTATCACAGCCTCGTTGAATAGCTCTTGATAGTCTGAACCAGGGAAAACGACACAAGGAAACCACAGAAGTAAAATACTACTCCGCCCGCCACGTCACCCGCCTCGTCACAATAATCACCGTCCTCGCCGCCTCCCTCGTGGTCCAAGCCGCCATCGTCACCCTCTACCTCATCCACAACGAGGTCCTGCGCCTCTGCATGATCGCCGTCTTCACCAGCGTCTTCGCGGCCAGCTTAGCCGTCATGACGGACGGGCGGAGGACGGATATCATCCTGGCGACGGCGGCCTGCGCGGCGGTGCTGGTGGCTTTTGTCGCGCAGGATTGAGGTTTAGAGCAACTATCGGCTCTTGTTTTCCTGGTTGGCGTTGGCTGATCATGTATTAAGCGGAGATACTTACATAGTGATTGAGGCTCGTGGGAGGTTCAGACCTCATTTCAGGCATAGAGACGGCTGACGCCGATCTTGTCTGAGGTGTGACGTTGTGGGTCCGGCCGGGAGATGGAGAACGGGCTCCCGCCGCCAGCCCCACCCAGCGCGAGGGGTCACACTTAACGATGAGAGCACTTAGGCTCGAGACGAACAATTTGATCTCTGCGTTATAAACCACCTTGGTGGCAGTGATGGTGAGGGTGGCAGTAGTGAGGAGTAGGCCTGACCGGCAAGGGCATCAAGCCTATGCAGACATATAGTCAACTGAACCTGGCTCAAAGGCCTTTTGTCCTTAGTCATAATGGAGCCTTGTTTCCTTGAGGAACACAGACACCTACCAGTTCACAGCGAATTCACAAACACATCAGAGCAGATTAGCAAACAGATCTGCTAGTGACACGCCTTCATACCTCCATACTTTGGACCAGAATTCCCTCGAGAGACTCGACAGGAAGCACCTACCTCGTGAAGTCATCCATCCTGCAACCTTTGTCTTCAGGCTGTCTGCTCACTTTCTCAACAGTGCTTGGACCACACGAAAAGCAGACGAGGTTCACAGTTGTGGTTATTAGAATTGGTATGTATACGTTGTATGTGATGTGATAATCCCCTCGTACCTGGTCAAGGTAAACCCGAGAAACCCATATCCCCCAAAACCCCCCTATTGTATCCTAATGCTTCGCATCGCTCTGTGCTCCGCAAAACCACCTAAAGGTTATTCAAACAAAAGAAAAATCAATCCAACTCCCCTCGCAATGCCATAGTTGTGTGTGATTGTTTATATACAGCTCCTGCAGACTGTGCATCCGCCCAGAGATTAGTGTGTAGGTAGGTAGTTGGTCGGTCGAGGTATTGTAGATCCGGGCTGGCCTTCGTCTAGTACATGACACTCTGCCTCCAGCGCTCGATGGACTGCATCTGCCCATTGTGGCCGGGTTGCATAGGCATCTGCATCTGCTGCATCGGCATCGGCGCCATACCTTGCTGCATACCCATGGGCTGCATCTGCATCGGCACACCCATGCCTCCGCCGTAGGGGTTCATGCCGTTCATGGCCCCCATGTTGTTCATGCCTCCCATACCACCAGCAGTGTAGCCTCCGTATCCGCCCAGATTCGGCTGGCTCATCTGAGCCATACCTGGATTTCCGTACACTTGATGCTGCTGCTGCATGGGCTGCTGGAATGGCCCTCCGTAGTTGCTCAAGGCCATGCTAGAGCGATTCCATCCGCCAGGTCCCATATTGACGCCCAAGGTGCCATTGACAGGCGGGAGCCCAGGCTGCGCGAGGAGACCTCGAGCACCCAGCCCACCACCGGTACCTCCGTTGGCGTCGTTGAAAGCGCCGTTCTTGTAGCCGCCACTCCGCTGATTGTTCGGTCCGGTCAGGGTCTGCGGCATCTGGGCGCGGACCGCAGCCATCTTGGCCTCTTGTTCCCGAACCTTGCGCCTCTCCTGCTCGAGGCGGCGCTGCTCGTCCAGAGCTGGGTTGTAGGCAATCGGGTGGGAGTTGAGGACGTCAGCGAGACTGTGCTTCTTGCGAAGCGTAGGCGCCTCGGCCTCAGCCTGGACAGGCCCACCGCTGAGCATCATTTCCTGCTCACGCGCCTCGCGCTCGGCCTGCAGTCTCTTCCTACGTTGGCCAAGTGTCTCCTCTCCCTCTGGCTGGGCCTCCTTCTCCTTGCCCTTGTCTCCAGGTTTCTTATCATCGTTATCGCCAAACTGGGCTAGGATCTCCGCAGAGAATGCGCGACTGACGGGGCGGGCGTTGGGTAGATTGTTGTGTTCGGCTTCGTCCTTGGCTCTGAGGCGTCGCATACGCTCACCGAGAGTCTCTCCAGCAGTAGCTTCGTCCTCCGACTCCTCCTCGGGCCTTAAGTGCTCGGCGGAAGGCATCTGGTTGAGGCGCATCTGGCTCAGACCAGCGTTGAGAGTAAAGTTGCTCCTCTGCTTAGCCAATATCCTCGGGGGCTCTTGGCCGTGGAGACGGGCGCGACGGGCACTGAGAGGCTCGTTCTCTTCCAGGTCACGACGCTCCATCAGACCCATAGGTCGATTCTTCTCAGCCACGTGCGGGTTGCCGGCGTACAAAACGCCAAGCGGAACCTCGTCTTCGTCGGAACTATGGTCCTCCTCCTTGGCACCATCGACTTCCCAAGCAAGGGCAATCTTCTTCTTCTCACGGTGCCTCTTCTGCGTCTCGGCAACCGCGTCCAGCTCGATGAGGGTAGCATGCATGCCGTTCTGCCCAACGTTACGGTTCGGGTTCTGAGTGCGCATTTTCGCGTGGTACTTGCGCAACTGCAGCTCAGCGAGGAGAGTGGTGGGGGGCCCATCGAGAACTCCTGCAAACTCATCGACTTCCTCTTCTTCCTCTTCCTCATCTGAACCCTCGCCCTCGGCCTTTTCCCTATCCTCGCCGTCAACGTGATCAGAAAGAGCTTGGTTCTCTTCTCTGCTGCCGGCCATGGAATTCTTCCTGGATCCATTGTCGGATTTCTTGCTGAATGGCATGAGTCCGCCCTTCTTCTTCTGCGAGGCGGCCCGCACATGCTCTTCGGGAAGCAAGACGGTGGCGGTAGACTTGCGGTTCTTCTTCTTATCGGGGCCGTACGTCTCATTGCCCAACTTTCCTGCGAAAGCGTGGTCGGTGAAGGCACTGACAGGGGCATTGGCAGAGGCATCAAGAATGCTGTCGAGCGTCGCCATCGCGGAGCCTCCCTTGACCTCGATCTGCGGTGTTGTGGACGGCAAATCGAAAAAGGCGCTCGCTCGGAGTTGTGGCGGCAGGTTGGAAGCCCTTGGCATTTTGGACTTGCGGCGTTGCGTTGGCGGGGGATCCTCTGGCATGTGTTCTGGTCCTTCAGCACCACCAGCAGCAGCAGCACCATCACTTGATAGCAACGGGTCGCCCTGCTCGGATGGCACATGGGAATCGACCGCGGCAGGTTCTTTGAGCGATGCGTCACCCGAGTGCTGTCCCCCGATGTCGTCTCCAAAAGATGACATACCGTGGCCGGCAAGCGGATCGGGCAACCACATCTTGGACTCGCGGACCTGGGACGCTTCGGGGTCCTGAGGTAGATACTTCGCCTGACCGAAACCAGGATGGCCCATGGCCTGAAGCACCTTGGAGTGCCTCGCGTTCCGGACCTCAGTCTTGGGCTTCCTGGACAGCTTGGGCGGCAAGTTGAGCATAGC